CACGAACTCGAGCGCGCGCCCGCGAAGCGCAACCAGAAGCGCACTGCAGGCGCCTCTTTGCCCCCATCATCATCTCTTTCTTCACCTGTTTTGCATGCTGACAATTCTTATTTGCTGCCCACGTCAGCATCAATCGCATCGCCTTTAGTCAGGGATGACTCTAAACATCTATTGCACACCAATGCACCACTCAAACCACGCTCGCCTATCGCAATCGCATCGCCTTTAGTCAGGGATGACTCTAAATATCTATTGCACAATAACGCGCCCATTGTGGAAGTTATTACGCCATCGCTTGAAACACGCTCGCCTATCGCTATTGCATCGCTTAAGGAAGAAATCTTGCCAATTGCCCCATCACCGTCACCGCTATCACCATTCACATCGCCAGAGGTCAGGGATGACCCTAAACATCTATTGCACCTTAGCGCGCCTATAGAGGAGCCTTCTACCGCATCAGAGGCTCAAGTAACACCTCGCGCCAACCAGAGTTTGTCTCTGGTAATTCCATCTGTCACTAACGATCATGCGCATGTCGTGCTTTTTGCTTCCAGAGACCATTGCTTGCCAGTAAAACATCCGTGCATCATGCTGCCCAATCACCAAGCAGAGCATGTCTCAGGCGACCATGGGATGACTCAGGCGCACCATATTGCGCCTGAGAACGCGCAATGCGTGCGCCTAGAGGCATTGTATAGTTTCCCTCATCTCATTTCGCGTTTTTTGTCCCTTTCATGTTTAAAGCTCTTAAGGAGCTATATGAGAATTCCAAACACTTTAATTTCATCTTCGCACCAACCCTTGTTCACGCGCCATGATCGCGCGCATCGCGCGGTAATTCCCACGCCTCGCGCATTCATAATTTTAGCAGAGTTTTCACACTATCGCATTTCTATTGTTTCTCCCCTTTTAAATCACATTTCTGTTATTCAACTCAAAATATATTCCAATCAGCCATCCAGGCGCGACTTAGGCGCGCGCCGGACACATACATATGCGCCTAACTCCCCCATCATCATCTTCAACTTCGCACTTTCCACATTTATTCGCATTCTTCATGTTTTTGCTTACCATGTCAATTTCGTTCCTGCACACCCTGACATGCACTATTCTCTTTCACCTATGCGCCTATTGCGCCTTGATAAACCACCCTTACAGCCCATTCGCGCAACATTTGCGCCTAATTCCAAACTATATATGTCTCTCACTAACACATTTGCAGAGAAATGGCCGTTCCTTGCGTGTTCGGCCAATATAATCGAATTCACGCGAAATCGCCCCAAGGCGCGCACATCGCGCGCATCCTATCAGCTTGTAGAGCACCTCTACACCCCTTGCAGCGCCTCCCATTGGCACGCCTTCAACCTGCAGCGCGTTGTGCAGGAATTCATTCTGCCAGTTACTAGCCCGCCTCGGAGTCGCAATTAAAAAGGCTTGATGAAGAGGAACCAAGCACCCCAAGCGCGCCAGCCTTGCGCCTTCTGACCCTCGCCTATGCCACATACACCACGTGCTTCGAGCGCTTCAGCTGCACACCAAAGAAAAACACATACCATTGCTGTTTCATAGGATACCGTTTGTTTCACCCTGGGTTTCGTCCAGTGCTCTTTCATTTTTATTTTCTCTCATTATAACACTGTCCAAAGGACTAATCATACACTGATATATATATGCATATAGGAATCGCCTAGAAGAACATAGAAGAAAAACAACAAAAACAACCTTAGATTGTGCCCGCCTAGCTCAATAGGATATTATTTTCTCTTCACACGCATGACGCGGCACCATGCTCTTTTTACCTTAGAACGCGCACATATGCGCGCGCACTTTCCCGCACCCATGCGCCTCACGTGCGCGTGCGCTTCCCGCGCCTTGCTCATAGGAAGGTGTAGATGTCGACAGCTGCACGAAGAAGACAAGTCGGATAGGACATCCGCAAAAGTTTACTGTTTTCTCTTCATATTTTTGCATAAAGTTTTACTCATGCTGTTCAAACCTTTAGCACCTAATATTTAGCGCACCTAGCAGGACTTGGTTTGGACATGGATTGGATCGCTCTTGGACCGCGCCACTTCACATCATGCTCACGCACGCATATTGGACTCAGAGATCATTGTGCAACAGCCCCTTGCGCCCCCACAGAATGCAGCGCATGTTCTCGCGCCTTGTGCGCGCGCACTTTCCCACGCTTCACACCATATGCGCGCACCTCGCCCACGCTTCACACACCACAGCCATATCACTCTCGCATCATCGCCTCACACCCATGGTGCATTATTCACACCAGAGTTACCCTTGCAATTCGCCATGCTATGCTGCATTCCCACGCCTCGAGCGCATATGCGCGCGCACTTTCCCGCACCTTCGCGCCTCACGCGCACCTGCGCATTCCCGCGCTTCGTGCATACCATGTGATACATTCCTACGCGTGCGCATTCATCGCCCAACAACCCAAGGATCGTACATGCATCATACTCGCATACTATCACTCGAGATCCTCACCACACATGCGCTGAGTGGGGACACTCAGAATTTAAGTCCCTGGGAGATGTAGAGACTCATGCCTCTCATTGTGCAATATGGCAGTTTTCACTGGGGAGTACATGGCACGAACTTGTAGCATCACTCTGTGTGCTACCCGCAGCTATCTCTATATGAGGCGCAGCTTTCCCGCGCAACGCGCGCCATGCGCGCGTACCTTTCCCGCGCTTCACGATGTATATGCGCGCGCGCTTTCCCGCGCTTGAGCGCCCTATAGCGCCAGCCATCCAGAAGCATCCATCCACTGTCCACCAAGTTCCCTAGTGCATATATTTCCATTTCTCACATTTGCATATCGTTCCATCTTTCTTTTTATCATGGACCCTTACTTACATATATCTTTACATACCTTACTCGGTAGCGCTTCGGCTCCGCATGACAGCGCTTAGGCGCCATACTTAAGCGCCAACAGTACATACTTACTACGCACTTACTCTCCCACCAGAACGACAGAGGACTTACTGGTTACTACCCACTATTCACCTAGCAGAACATAGTAGAAATCTATTTGTTTACACCTCACATCTCCCTTCTCTTGTCTTACATCATATCATCACTTAAGCAAACTCACTCTTACTCTCTCTCGTATCTGTATACACGCGCACGCTTTCCCACGCTTCGCGCCATACACGCGCGCATTCCCGCGCCTTGCGTGCACCTGCGCTTTCTCGCGCTTCGCATTGGCCAACCAGTAGCGCTTTCAGCACATACCTCTAGATCCTTGCTGCACTCGCTTCCCCTTTAGGGTCGAACGCACTTGTTGTCTCAAGTATAGCAGACTAGGCAACGCATGACCTTACAACAATTATAGATACAGTCAGGAGGATTGTTCGTGCCTCGCTGTATCGTTGAACCTTCAGCGCTTTGAGTAGCAACGTGGCGTACTCAATCTGCTGAAATCAGCTACAACTATAAACTCAAACCTTCAGGTATGAGTCCATGATGAACACGCAAAAACACGAAAGCGGGGGAACTGAGTGGAAATGAGTCCTGCAATCGAAGATGTGAGCAATAGACCAATAAGACAACAGGGAGCAGACCATGCAACAAAAAATCAAGAGTCTGTCTACCTCCTGCGTGTTTGCTTCCTTGCACGTTTTGCTGGCCATTGAGCTTCCTCGCCTTCTGAATCCTCGATGGGCGTGTTGCACCTGGAAGTGAGAGAAAATAAGCCATCCATGCAAGAAAATACGGTCCAAAGTGCCACCCGCAAGCGTTTGCGCCATTGTGGAAGTGGTGAATGGTGGTGGCTGGGAGTGCGCAAAGACGCAGGTGACGTGGCGGGCACTTGTTGTGGTGCCGCGGTTGATGGTCTCAATACCAAGCGACATCAAGAAGTAGGAGGGCATGAAAGATGGGGCGTGGCATGAGACAACAGGTGGGAGAGTGTTAGCACAAGAGAACGGGCACAAGAGGACAGGTACAAGAGAGCAAGCATGAGAAAATGGGCGCAAGATAGCGAGCACAAGCGAAAGAGTTAGAGCGCGCATCAAATTAATTGAAGATGAAGAAGTCACTCGCCTGACACCTCAAACTCAGTGGTTTTGGTTGCCTTGGTCTTTGTCGGCACGTTGATTTTAGGGGTGGAGGCGGTGGTTTCACGGGAGTGGGACGATGGGCTTGCGGGAGGAATTGCACAACGAGACGTGTGGTCTGATTCATCAGTTTAAACAGTGCATATCATGACTTACCTTGTCAATGGGCCTCTGCATTTGATGGAAACAAGTAAATCTTGAAGCTTGAGAATCCCTGAGGCCGAAGTGGATCATCAAAGGAAGGTGTCAAAGCACACTTCAACAATGTGGCAAGCTTCTTTTGGTTCGCGGTTCGGGACGGTTCGGGACCGGTCCAAACCAAAGTTAAACCATTCGCCCAATGCCAGAACCGAGAACCGTACTATGGTCCGGTTCTGGCTGACACCTGGACCGTGGACCGAACCACAGGAGAACCGGACCAAAAGTCCAGTTCGAACCATGGTTCAGGACCGGACCACAGCAGCACTAGTTACATAATAGAGTCCCAAACTCTCGTTAAAAACTGTCAACATAATACCATTTACTCCCTCTCTTACTCGGTTTTCGCGTTATCTCTCTCGTTTCCGCTACTCTACCCTGTCAGGTGCAACACCACTCCCTTCAGCGTCTGTCTTTGCATAATCGTTTCGGCTTAGCTACACCGAGGACCCTTAGCGTTTCACAATATAAAATAGCCCATGTACAATCCTTGATCTAGGCAATCATATCCAGTCTCGAAGTCTCGTTCTCGCACTCATTAATATCACTATAACTATTGTCTAAGCGTCTCAAAATCATCACATTCCCTATAGTCTAACTGCCGCTGATAGCTATCTAATTCTTTAGCACTCATATATCCTCCAGCGGTCTCCACACCCTGTCGCACTCGCAAGTCGTATGCCGACTTACAGTCTCTCATAGACTCGTACCAGTCGAGCACTCAAAATGGCTGACACAAAAGCCTCAGATTATCTGAGTGAGTCAGATAATGTTCTGCCCGAGGAACGAATGATGTCACAAGGATGAATACACTAGCCAGGAACCATCAACATATCCGGACACTGATCGACACGACTCAGATTCGATAATGGCATATGTATGATCCGAAGGTTAGTGTCCTACTGTATTAACAACTCACATCCCTTAGAAAATAACCAAAAGACGGCACCCAGACATCTCATTCGGTGATCTCGACTCCATCATTTCCTCCCCCAAAGAATCAGCCTCTTATCAAAGCCATGAACTTACTGGCATTTGTCTGTTGGCGCAGATGATCAGGAAGAAATCTTCGAAGATGAAGAAGATACATGGCTCAATGAGATGCTAGCGGGTAGGTGACCAGCGGAGGATCGGCCTTGGCATTGAAGCAGACGCAAACCTTCATGCACCAATTGTTACCAAGGCCTTGTCTGATGAACATATGGACAGTCCTATCAATGGCCTGGGTAGCACTCAAGACGATCCTACGGAGGATGATGCTGACTTAGAAGGCATGGACACCGAGTGGGACGAATTTTGGTAGGTGACTATAGCTGTAGCGCTCGAAATTTTCGATTTTTTGGTCACGTGATAGTTAATAACATGTTAATAACCCTACGCAAGCACTTGATTATTAACAGGCTAATTGGCCTCACTTTGGTAGGTAGAAACCGAGATGAGCCAGAGATATGTGTATACGTGTGGATTAAGCCAGGGTCGGGAGTATCATGAGGGTGGGTGTTAGAAACTAAAGAAGCTAGTGCGACGACGGACAGGTGAGATATAGTCACATAAAGAAGAAGTCATGAACATACCTAGCGCGACGACGGACAGGTGAGAAGAGGCAAAGACCTCCTAAGTGTCCGTCTGCGCTAGGAAACGAAAAGAATCTCCGCTCGGAACAGAGATTGCTCAGCATATGCATCATGCCAAGAGCACCCGGAGCGCGTGCCACATAGGCAAAGGGACAGACCCTGGGTTGGCCCGCACGTGCCAAAACGACCCGAAAGTATCAACCAATTAGACTTGTGTAAAGGAAAAATTAAACTCGACTAATTGGCCTCACTTTGCCTCGCAGAAGCACAGGCTGTAAGGTTTAGCCAGCAAAAGGATCTTTCCGGACGCGAGTCCGAAAAAATCCGATGAATACTCTGTGTAGGCTAGAGACAAAGCGCGAGACCAAGACTGTAGGTAGAAACCGAGATGAGCCAGAGATATGTGTATACGTGTGGATTAAGCCGTAGTGTGTGTTATGAGGGAGGGAAGGAGGGATTTAAAAATGAAAGAAGGAAAAAAAAGATTAATCATAGACATAACAGTGAGAGAAAGGAGACGACGTATCAATGACGAGATATAAATACAATTACGAAGGGATGATCGCGAACGGATCACGATCATTGTGTGCAGACCGACCATGAAAAATGAGAGCATGCAGTAGAGTAGGATTCTTGCGAATATACACTCGAAAGGAATCCGACGACCATCTTCCAAGAGCTTGCACTTCCATAGCAGGTACCCCAGCTGCTGCAAGGGAAGTAGCTCCCCCGGCTCGCATGGAATGACCGGCAATAGAAGGAGGAAAAAAGTGTCGTAGTCTTGCGATAAACCATGACCTGGTGGGTACCGCACCATTTTCACGCAACCAGAGAGTTGAGTGAAAGGGGAAGAGCCTATCGCGAGATTTTAGATATGTGAGGAAAGCATTGTGTGGATCAGGATGAATGTGGGATTGCTGAATGACAATGGTGCCCCCTTCAAATTGCGGATCAACCTTATGCGTGGGAAGTATGAAGGAGTGTTTAGTTGCATCGGAGGTGACGGAGGTGCGCAACGATAACTTCCGCTGAAGTTGGAGAGAGCTGTTGTCTGGCCATACTAATTCACCTAGACGCAGCAAACCATGAAAACCGTCAAGAAGTAGAGCTACAAAGAGCTTATCATCATGAGATGGATCATGTAAATCATCAACAACACGAGCGAGATCAGCTTGCGTCAACGGCAGCTTTCGATTAACGGGCACGCCGTAGCGACGTTTGGCACCACGGAGAGTTCGAGCAACCAGACGTGAACGACGAACTGAGCGTATGTCGGGGAAATACTCTTCCAGTAGACTGCAAATCCCAGAAAGATAATTGTCCACTGAACGAGGGTTTACATGTGTCGCCATGAAGGTGACATAAAAAGACAGTGTGTCTGGAGTAGGCTCGATAGGAAAATGATGAAGGTCGCAGAAGGTTAGATAGGAGTTGAGTGCTGAAGTATATGCATGATTAGTAGAACGTTCCAGGGCCATTCCCAAATTGATTGAGCGCTCGTGAGTGAGACGCTCTATAGACCAAGCCTCCCGGATGGGTTGCTTGGTCTTTCGGGGCCTTGGTATCATTTTTTTGTTGCCCCCAGCACATTCCGAGGGGGTTCAAAAGGTAGAATTCGTAGGTCCGGGACGCAATCCAAAGCCTCCCGTCTATGGTTCCGTGATAAATGATCAGCTACAATATTCCTATCTCCAGACACGTGAAAGACTCGAAAATCGATAGAAGTGGCAAGTATGAGGTCAACAACGAATCTAAGAAGATGATTATATCCAATACCCGCAGAAAGGGAGTTGAATATGGCCACAGTATCAAGACTGTCCGTAAAGATGGCCAGCCGATGTTCGGAAGGAAGACGTGAGAGAGCATCGTGAATTGCCGAGGCAACGCACAAAGCCTCATGGTAAAAGATATCGGAGGTTTGATGTGACGGAAGGGCACCCTGAAAACCAAGCTTCAAAGAAGGATACCAGAAACCTAAGCCGACGCCTGAAGCATCACAGTATACACGCAGAACATTACGTGCACATGCAACATCAGATAAGTTCCATGACACCGACTTTAGCAGGTAGACTCCATTCGAACGTTCCAGATGTTCTGCTGCCCATAAGACTTCGTCGACAATACTCCGATTGAGCCAAACTAGAGCTTTAGTTTGACTTTTACCTTCCATTTTGCAATACAATGCAGCGAGACCAGGTCTCAAAAGCGGAGCCACATTAAGGGCCCAGTTTAGTGATCCCGCAATATGCTCACACTCCCGTAATGTTCATCTATGGCGATGACGAGCAAAGGTCCGGAGTTCAGAGACCAAGCGAGCTTTTGAATCTTGACAAAGCGTTACCCTCATTAGTTGAGGATCAACATCAAAACCGATGACCGCCAAAGGAGACCCAAAAATTTGTTTTCGTTCTTCGTGTGGAATTCCTAATTCGTCCCAGAGTTGAAGAAGTTTGACCATGTCAGATGGCAAATCTTTCTGGTACTTTTTATAATAGGAACGATCTTGAAGCTTGGCAAAGGAGAACAAGTCGTCCACATAGATGTAAGCGAGAATGAGGCGCACAAAGACTGCTAGCCATATGACTAGAGACATGAAAGCATGGAAGATTCGTTGAGAGGCTCTTCCACCAAAGACATTAGATCGGTCAACATGTCGTCTTCCTTCAAGGGAGATGATTTGCTTGACCTGCCATAGAGGATGCATTGGCATATGTCGATAAGCTTCGGAGACATCTGCCTTCCAGATTACTAGAGGTCCGTCCCCCTCCAGAGCTCTGAATTGGCGTAATGCATTCCCCAAATGCTGAACATTATCCAACGTTACCCCAGCTATATCTTCCTTGGCAATCATTGAGTTAAGCGAGAAGTTGCCTGCACTGTGATTCGTGACGAGTCGGAATTTTCCTCCATCCTTCGGGACTGCGTGAATCAGCATGGAATACATTCCAGGAAATAAGGTCGGACCAAAATCCGGGGAATATCGTCCAACACGAACTTCTTTTGCGATTTGCTCACGAAGAAAGACCCGTTCCGTTTCAGCAGCTGGAAGAGGAATGGGTTCTTCCCATGTTGTAGGATAATCTCCATAATGAGTATCGGCCCATGGCCAGAAACCTTCATGGAGCCCCGTGCAAACAGACAGGTAGAAAGAAGGATTAGGATGATTCGCGGCCTCCAACATGGATTGGAAAACATCAACATTGATAGGTGTAGAAACTTGAAACAAATCGGGATGAGACGAAATAGTATTGATTGCTTCGACATTAGAGAATTCAGATAGCGGTGGTCTTGGTAAGGGTGCAGCTGTTTCAGTCCAGACTGCAGTAGGGCTAAGAATAGAGGATTTCGAAGACCAGATGAAGTGACGCCGAAAACGCTGACCGGCCGCTATGGACTCATTTACTCCCTTTTGCCAATGGGCATTCGCCCCGTCTGTGGGACCCCCTGCAGCTTCCTCGATCGCAAACATGGAAGTAAAGGCATTCTTTGGCCTCCTTGTCACATTCTCCCCGATTCCACTTATGACATGGTTCTCCCCTTCCTTTCGACTGTTTCTTTCCTCCCCCAAAGTCTTTCCCAGACTTTTCTCCGGAAGGAGCCATTGCTCGGGGTGTCTGAGTATAGGCGACCATACCGAAGGCCGACAAGTGACTGGACTTAAGACCTTCGAAGTGGGAGAAATCGTCGAATCGTAAGAACTTTTGTTGTTCAATAAGGAGTCGGACTGCCCTGTCAAAGTCGAGAACTCGTTCATGATGGGAATAATGGTGGTTGGCGAAGATGCTGGAGATATAGTTTCGATAGCTCCGTACTTCCTCTTCTCTCCACGGCATGATGAAACTGAGTGCTTGGGTCCAAAGATCAGTGACGATTCCTCAATCTCCGGCCGTCTTAACCTTGTGGCTAATTGAGGGTTGGGCAAGCGTGAGCTCAAACCCCTTCCCAAGAGGCTGGGATTGTTTAGTGTCGATAGCCGTGGAATACCGGCCTGTGAAGACCTTGTCAAGATCGACTGCTTTCCCTTCGAGTAATAGGGTCCATTGAGAGGTTGATAAGTTCGGACATCCCGGAGTGGTAACGATTTTGGTACGATAGAATTTAGGATCGTCGGACCATTCCTCGTAACATTCCAGGGTTGCTCTGATTCCTCGGGAACGTGAGAGGTAGCGGAATTTGACAGGATTGAGCCATGGGTAGAATTGAACTTGGTTCTCTGAGAGTTTTCGCCTCTTCTCTCGCAGGATGACTCTACTATCCTCGGATTCATATCCTGCCTCATCGAGACTCTCAGTCTCTTCGCTGAACGATCTGCCTCTTCGTCTCCTCTTCGAGGGTCCTCTTCGAGGACCCTGATAGGGGAATTTCTGAGTCGTTGAGCTCTGCCGCACATGACGATCTTTGACTTCTATCAGATGTTTCCGGTTGAGCTTCTTTGGTGACAGAGTCAAGGATTTCAAGATAATGTGCGAATCCGTCTGCATAGGACGGGTCTGACTCATCGGAGGCTGCTGCCAGCTCCTGCTGGATTCCAAGAACGACTCTTCCCTTAGGGATTTTATGCTTTCTGAAATCAACGACAAATTTGAGACATCGTTCGATGACTTCGGAGTTGTAGGAATTATGATAGTCGGTTGATACTCCTCTTCGGACGGAAGATTGAGTTTGTGAGGAGGAGGGTTCATGTTCCGACATGGATGAGCAGAATGCGATGAATTTTATATGTTAGAAACTAAAGAAGCTAGTGCGACGACGGACAGGTGAGATATAGTCACATAAAGAAGAAGTCATGAACATACCTAGCGCGACGACGGACAGGTGAGAAGAGGCAAAGACCTCCTAAGTGTCCGTCTGCGCTAGGAAACGAAAAGAATCTCCGCTCGGAACAGAGATTGCTCAGCATATGCGTCATGCCAAGAGCGCCCGGAGCGCGTGCCACATAGGCAAAGGGACAGACCCTGGGTTGGCCCGCACGTGCCAAAACGACCCGAAAGTATCAACCAATTAGACTTGTGTAAAGGAAAAATTAAACTCGATTAATAACACCAAGCTGACTTATCGTCCGTACCCACTACCGCTTGAGCTGCCACTGACCCAATGTTCAACTCGTGATAGACATGCAACTTATGTCAAAATCCATTCTAAAACGTGAAGGTGAGTCATGTAGTTCAAGTTGAATCCTGGTTGCACAACTTGCTCATACTACTCACGTCCTGTGCACAATGTTTGGTAGTAATCTGTATCTTTTGTGCAAGTCCATCCGCTGCACTGCCAGACATAGATTCTGTCAAAACAACAATTGGGAAGAAGGAGAAACGCATTTTTGCAAGGTGATAGTATGGAATCTTCTGAGGGGGATCTCTGGCTCGGAGAATGGAGTAGAAAGACGGCCATTTTTTATATCCTCCATATACTAATGAGTATGATTCTGATCAATTGTTATTGCTGTCAGATGCAGGAAATTTCGGCAGAACCTGCAAGAAGCTTATTCAATCGATTATGCCAACTATTGTATCATAAACCGCTGTTGCTGGGTTCGTACTGTGTTGGGTGTGTAGCTCATAAGAGCACGCGCGCTCGTGCCCCGGACCATGATATATGTGAGTTCTGCCCACGTGAATCACTGATTTTGAACCGTCTCTGAATCCGTATCTTGCCACGCTTTACGCTCCACTCTTTTGCAATGTTATTTGCGTGCTGCTGATGGCAAAGAGCAACCGTTTCGTTCTGTGACCTGGCATCATTTCTACTTACTGAAATTGAAACGCACAAATACTCGACCCGTCCTGGGCAGCTTTTCTGTTGAGCTTGCACTAAGTTGGAATGCTGTCGCGATCGCAGTTTAGCTCATGGTCCGAGTTTACAATTAGCTGCCTTCTACTTCCATTTTCACCATCTATCTCACACTGTCTTATCTGCTACGCCCATTTTACAGCGTCAGCATTGCTCCTACGTAAATGAGTTCATTGGCCAGTGATCACCGGTACATCACCTTGATACTCTCGAGCTGGCTCTACCACACAGTTGATTAGACTGCAGCAGCGGTCTCACCGACGCCGAGCATTCGATTTCAAGTTTGATAATGTCAAAAGGTGACCTATTGTTAGTTTTATCATGGCGATTACTGATTCTCAGTGCTCACAGACAAAAGCATCGACTAATAAGCTTTCAATGTGAGAATGGTTCGGACTGGCCCGCACGGCCATCAGGTACAACTCAAATGGTCAACCTAGATGTAGTCTGGCCCTGCGTCCCGTGTCGAACCTCCAATCAAACGGCACTTCATTTCGCAAAAATTCGGGTTCGAAATTTGATTCAGGACTGAATTGCAGCACTTTGCCAAGATATATTGCTTTCTCAGGGTTTTCATTCGTACAGCTCATCAGTGGCACTGGATACTGATTTAAATTAAAGCATTCAATACAAGCTATCGACTTCGCTCGTCGACATGACACGAAGATACGAGCGGACCGGTGGACCGCTTCTCAGGCTGCGAACTCATGGCATCTTATCCAGTCTTATGTCTATAACTGCCAGCAAAGACAAGGAAGCACTTACCGTACTTGCATTTAAGCATCGTAAGAAAGATCGAATTCTCCTTTTCATTCCCCCATCTGAATCCAGACGGACTGTCTCTGAGCAGGCTCCTTCGACTCGTTAAGGTTATATCACGACTCACGACTCATCCGATCATGGGCAGCATCCTCTTCGGTAACTTGCTTTGGATTTCTGTGCAACCGCTCATACGCATGTAAGGATTCTATTCCAAGTTTCCCTTGCGCTTTTTTCACGCTCGTTGTCATTCCTGAGGTTCATATGCGTAGCAAGCGGATTCGGAATCACGAGGGCAGGCTTGTTACCCGCCATTGCATCTAGCGGGATGGGGCAAGTCATCATAGTAAGGTTTTTTTTGAGGTGAGGCGAGGATGCACGACTGATCGACCGGCAGAATATTACGATTCCAAGCCTGATGTTCTCGACGATCATACCATCGTTCCACTCATCAAACATGGCTCAACTCGGTGCGATTCTGTGCTTTTTTACGTCTTTTTTGACCGAAGTTGTTTCTAGGCCCTCTTGTTATCATTGCGGTGATAAATATGCTGATTGGTATGACACTGTCATGGATCATCAAGCAACTCTTTTGGGTTCCTCACAGATTCCGGTATGGAATTCTCATGGTTGGAGGATGGGCAAACACCAGTGATATACGTAAGCTCGCCGAAACCCGTTTGCCGTACATTCTGTCTGATACTTGTTTGTATAGCTATCTCTGTGGCCATGAGCGTCATGGCAGCAGCTCCTTTCAATGGAACTGATGATGGGAACCTGGCGGTAGGCTACATCGCTGTTTTTATGCTGGTGTGGTCCGTAAGTATATCGGTTATGCAGTTACCTCCATTCACTACAACGTCCGTAGATCACGCTGTTTCCTCTTGGCGGATACCGGTTGATTATAATGGATTTCGATGGTCCTGACTTGGACAATGATCGAGTCAAGGAGAGGCTGAGCGCCAAACACTCGAGGATTCTGTCGAGACTTACTGCTGGATTTGTCTACCTCAGGCGGATCTTTCTGTTTAACCATTCGCCGGTCAGGGAACTTCATACCGAAGTCGGTCAGAGTAGTACTGGCGAAAAAGAGTCTCCTCATGCGACGTCCACGCACGAGGACTCTGTCACCACGTGTTATAGACCACCGGAGCAGGAAGAAATCGGAGTATCGACATCGACGAATGAAGAGCTGCCTACTTCTCCCTCGTTTACATCAATACAGCCCGGTCCGGTTTTGACTGACAAAGCCCAGAAAGTCTCCACAACTACTACTCATCTTCCTAACTCACTCGCTGGGCACGTCGCGGTGACGCATGTTCATTGGTTTAAGAAGTTTATCGGTCTGACCTGGAGATTTTTGCAATCCTTCATGACTCCCCCATCTTTATCGATCATCCTCTCATTCACCATCGCCATCATTCCTTCATTGAAGGCGCTTTTTGTTCCAGGCGTTCCAGGCACCCATATACCTTCAGCGCCTGATGGTCAGCCTCCACTCGCCTTTATCATGAAGACGTCCACCTTTCTTGGTAGCGCATCAGTACCCATGGGTTTGATTATGCTTGGGTCGGCTCTCGCGAGACTAAGCGTCCCGCGAAACCAGTGGAGTTCTCTCCCTCTCTGTGCCATCGCGAGTTGTACTATTGGCAGACTCGTCGTGATGCCTGTGCTGGGCACCCTTATTTGCCAGCAATTCATGCGTGTCGGACTGATTGATCCCTCCAACAATGTGCTCAGATTCGTCTGCATGTACGTCCCCTTTGTGAACGTTTGAGGCTGAATGAGACCTGATCTTGGGCATTAGCCTCGTGTCGGGTTTGCCCTCTGCGTCCATGCTGGTAGTGTTTGTTTATTCTTGGTGTTGACCATGATATTGAGTCGTTTACTAGGTGTTCTTGACTCAGGTGTACTCTGGGACGGGTAATGCTGATCATATAGCAGCGTTTCTGATACCCCAGTACATCATCATGTTTATATCGATGACGGCTTTCATTACTCTGACGCTTGATATTCTGTTTGGATGATGCCCTGAAGCAGGGATGTCTGGAGCTACGAATACCCTGGTGGAGACGTACCATCACCAGTCCGCCGTTCCCGCCGGCCGTTTTTGACGTGCGATCCTGTGAAGATGGGATGGCTTTGACGTACTTTCGATATGTAGCATATATACTGTCTTGTACGTGGCTTATCGCATGCTCCGTAGTATGTTTGCGCCGGCGAGTGCGGTCGGCACCACGGTTGATGAGATTATTGGGGATCCTGGACTCGACCTGCAGGTTGCGTCAGTGGGGAATCACTGAGCCAGTCATTCAAAGAGATGAGAAAACCGTGGCGCTAACGACCAGGGTAAGGATTGCTAGCCCTGCCAAGTGGAGTGTGCCGAGTAACGCTGAACTTGCATTGCTACGAGGAACATTGGGTATTGTCAGCATGGCCAATGATGAAGACAGTGGTATATCACTATGGTACCGGGGATGTTGTCGAACAATGGTCGTGCGCTGCGAGGGGTGACATGGACATGACAGACGCAGCTACGAGGTGACCGATATGAACGTCAAACGAGCTTGCCATTCTTGGGTGCTTGGCGCGGCCAAATGTCTCAACTTGACACAGGACCCTTTGTTTGTCGGGTTACACAAGCGTCAATAACGTTAAAGGGCAATTTTAGTCCAGCGGTATGAAAGTAGCTGTCATAGGCCGGTCTTCTCGATGCCGGCCGGCGACATGTGCAAAAAGACACGTGACGTGGTAGACATGGTCTATTCCTCATGACGTCGCTGTAGGTCACTGCAGACTGCGCATGGTCGAAGAAAGATTCAATGTTTCCCCATTACTTCTAGCTGAAACACGAAAGGATGAACCCTACTACTGTTAGTTGTCATAGCACCATGACTCACTAATCTTGATGGGCCGAAACATGTACATAAGGGTATAAGAAAGGTAATAAGCCTAGACCGAACACCTGCCGCTGTAATTCGCTTCAACGACATGCAGCTTCTAGGGTAATACTTTGTCTCTCTCAGATACAATATATCGAGTCTTGCTCCAAGTAGCTATAGGACATTATATATGATTACGTGATCATGTGATATGGAATCTGGGGTATCACAATTATAATATCAAGCCAAGACCGCAAAGTATTTCCGAGTGGGTGGACCACTTTTGATGCTGGATTGCGGCGGCCGACGTCGATGGGTGCAAAGATTAAAATATAAAAATGACAGAAACACCACCAAAACCTTGAAAAGTGGCGTGGAGTAATGCGGTTATGTACATGGAGTCCGTTAGCTTAGAAGCGGATCTAGTACTCAGCATATTAGCCGCCCATCCAATTACATAATTAGATCAGTTTTCTTTTTCGGGCTCTATACTCCCGCTCAATAAATACCAGGTTCGATGTCGAATTTCAACCTTGTCCGCGCTGGTCATCTTCTCTCTACCGCCCACTTTCTCAGCCCGCTCATTGTTCCCCAACATGTCTGACGTCGAGAAGGCTAACTCCACCCACCAGATGTATGACAGGCAGACAAAGTCTAGTGCCCCTCCCCCAACCCGTATCGCCAACCCAGGTGCACTGTAAGTTCATCATGTTTGTCGCGCCCGCCGGTGTTCTGAGTTCGTTATACCAGTGGTCTCTTTTCCTTCGCATCCACGACTTTCATTCTCTCTCTCTACAACCTCAACGCGCGTGGAGTTGTAGCCCCCAATGTAGTCGTCGGCATGGCCTGTTTCTGTGGTGGTCTTGCTCAGCTTCTCGCTGGTATGTGGGAGTTTCCGCGCGGCAATGTATTTGGTGCAACAGGTTAGTCACTTTTGACACTGGCGTCTTTTCTTGCCATGGCCTGTCGTACATTTAAGGACGTGTTGTCCTCCCCCGCAACGCGATCGCCGCAGTCATGTGATCTGGATCGGAACTTGCCTATTTCTGCTCGAGTTGTTCGGTACCAATGCGGTGCCAGGAAAAACATTCTTGCAACAACGCTGCCGCTTCATTGACATTATTTATTTCACTGATTCCATCAAATAATGAATATAATGCTGACTATTTTGTTGCTCAGCTTTCACATCCTATGGAGCGTTCTGGATGTCATACGCCACTATCTACCTACCCAACTCTGGAATTATCGCTGCATACGGGGAGAATCTTGACGAACTTAATCAGGCAGTCGGCATTTACCTGATCACATGGTTTATGGTCACCTTCTTGCTCTTGTGCGTCGCGCTCTCTGTTGGATTCTATACAACTTCTAATGCGTCCTTAATTTTTAGGATCGGAGCGCTACGCCGTAACATCAGCTTCATTGCGCTCCTCTTCTTCTTGTGTATCACCTTTATACTCCTCGCGGCTGGCGCCTGGACAGGCAAGCTCAACATCCAAAAGGCTGGTGGCGGATTCGGCATCCTTACCGCAATGATTGCATACTACTGTGGTCTTTCCGAGTTGCTAGTCAAGGGAGAGAGCTGGTTTGGCCTTCCTATGGGAACTATCAAGCAAGCACGCGTGGACTGAACGCCGGACTGATCAGTTTGCGTGGGATAGATAGTTACTGAACATCTTGCACTGTGGACACCAATCTGGGACTACCTATCTTCGCGTCTTTCCCTTGAAAATGGTTAGCATTCGATCACCCTACCCCACCTACGTTTTGTCCTTTCATACCCTGCGATACCACCCTCCAATCTGACAACCCATCTCGTAATACTATTCCTTACGGTCCTCAACCTGTATAGATCACTCCTTTGGCTTTGGATTCCCTTGTGTCTTGAAAATTCACGTTTCAAACATTTTTTTACCATATTTAAATCATTCGCAGCGGCGATTGAACAATTTGCGATGGAACCGCACACTTGCAAGTATCGGATAAGTTTTTCCAACCTCGGATGAGCCTTGAAATTAAAATATTAAGGACCAACGCCCATATGTACGTAAATTTAGAAGCTCCTCATACGTGCTTCTCGGACGCTTGGGATCATGATTATAAATATCGCACTCCGCTCCCAGGTTCCAGGGTCACCCCAGTTTGAACCACAGTTCTTGATGAGAAGTATTTTCAATCAGTGTGAGGAATACAAGCAGTTCAGGGAAGACAGCCAAAAACATCGCTTTACTCCCTGATTTTTTTTGAAAGCGTGGTCTGTAATCGAAGACGTGACCGGGGTTAGGAAGTTTCTCTATCCCCAATATGTACTCGGTCTTATCTTGGCTAGTCATGGGTCCAGTAATGTATCAGTATGACTAGAAGAAATTCCATTTCAATGGTCAGACTATACGTACTAGTAGTATACGACGTACGTGATTCGATGGGCGACGCGAATGAAACCATTTCCAGCATAGCTCCATCATGTCGAAGTCGAGCCATCCAATCACCACCATTTCACTTCGGCTGCGGTAAAGAAGACAGGGGTGGAAGATAGCGAGCACTAACTGTGCAACGAGGTACACGGAGGCGATGTGTCGTGTAGAGGATCCGGCACGATCGGATACTGGTATTGTCCGTCCCCCACAATCGTGGAGGATACGTTGGGGGTGGCGATGTTGGTGTGAACGCCGACTCTGGTGATTTATGGGTATAATACGGGTGCTATGCAAAGCCGCAGGACCGCGTGGGATAGGATATCCGGTTTCTGACTTCAGCCCGGTCAAGATGCTCAGAGGGGATGGTGCGTGAGTTCGACTTGGAGAAGTCAAATTGCACGGTTGCCCCTGCCAAGAAAAATGTACATCTGGGTACCCAGGGTACGGCTCCGACGATGCGTACGTACCTGTTCTGCAGATTCTTAGGGGTGTTAGAAGCAATTTGCCGATACGATAGAAGCAGACTGCATCACTCGCGCGAAGGTACGCTGGCGTTCTATTTCGGGCGTCAAATTTTCGATGACGACAGGTTCAGCGCTGAACGCTGAGGACTAAAAACGTCGCCTACGCGACTAGTGCCTTATAATGAGTAACCCAAGCTATGGTATGGCGGGAATAGATGTATTTGACCTCACTGTTGGTGCCTCTAAGACAGAATCGGAATGGAGCCCGCGACGCGCACCACGAGAAAGCCCAGAAAGTGATCGCCGTCGCTCATCTTGACTTGATGTACAGCGGAGGAAAACAGAATTTCGAATCTGCTTGCACATAATGATACCGTGATAGCGAATCGACCAAAAGCTATTGGTGGAGGGAAAATGTCACTAGAATTGCAGGAGCGCTCTGGAGGGGCCAGCCTAATCGATTATCAGAATTGTCAAAACGGGCCCGGGGCTTGAAAAGCTGTTCGTAAAGGGAACATGTCACTAGAATTGCAGGAGTGCTTCGACGGGTCCTCACCATGCGAACCTGTAGAGCCTGTTCGACTATCAGAATGTCAAACCGGGGCTTAAGCCCTCAGTCAAGAACATTGTCTTGACGAAGGGCTTGAGCTCCGAAAAAGGTGGACACGTCCCTGGTCACATTGGTCCCAGCCAGGATGGATTGCGTATGATTGTGTAGGGTCGACCACGGTAACCTTTGAACAAGTGCCTATTCTTGGCTGCGACGTCTTCGAGAAAAATTCATACGCCACTTGAAAAAAAATGACTCGTATGGGCGATGCGATGAGTTACCATCGATCTCGGCGGATTGATTGGACGATCTTACGAGCGGGAATGAGTCAACTGGAGCCTCATGGCAGGCTGGCGGAAGAAGTGATGCTATGAATGAATGAGATATGTAGCAAACCCCGGCTGATTCGTTCTGATGGAAGGATAGAGATAGAAAAAAAGTGACGTAATACGATGCAGCTTATGGATGGAAAGCGTGCCGCATACGGTGGCGGTGAGAGAAGCCACTACAGCTAGCCAATGGGTTCTCGGTTAATCTCAGTGCTCACCATACTCTCCAAGGCACACGCCACGCAAAGGATTTATCTAGATTGCGGCAGACGTACTATGGCACTTCTGGCAACAGTAGCCAAAACCTAATCCGAGCAACAGCAGCGAAGGGAAGGGCATTACCCATATATATGCGAGGTACTATATCTTGGGGAGTTGTGCCATGACGTGAAGACGGAGAGGATATCCAAAGATCGTGCGACGCCTTCAGGTAGATGATGTACTGAATATAGCACTCATGACCAATTAATCAACGGGGTATTCATTCACAGCATGGAAACAATGGTCGTAATGGCATCCCTTGGCGGATAAGGATTACTAAATACCAGTGTCAGTGGATGCGGGTAATTGGAAGAAGAATAAGTTGTTATACGTACGCCACCGAGCCAGCTCCCAGATAGATTGAGTCATGAATCCTCATCGCAGGTGGCCCGAGAAACTGGCACTTAACCGCTTCTTGGTTGGTTCTGGCGGCTCACAAAACATCGGACATGAAAAACCAATCCGATACTGTTGACTTCAAAGTCTTTCAGACCATGGATACAGCTGACTCCGAGTCAGATCTGCCATGGTCCCAATTGCTGTCAGAAGTTGATGCTAGTGGTGGTGTGTCTTGATAGCCGAACCATGCGAACACGGAGGGTGGAGCGGTGCAGGCTATACATCCTCGCGACATTCGCGCGGTGGCACCTTGTGACCTAATTTCTGTGACTATAATTGCCATGGATGGCAAACTGCCCTCAAAAACCAGCCATGATGGCTGAATCAAGCAAGAAACGAGGCATAGATTGGTCTATATCGGCTGCATATGAAGTAAGTAGCGTGTTCTAATACATAGCGCAGATCATACCCGAGAACTCAAAGGCCCCTGACATGTCACCTCACCAGCCAACGCCGTCAATGCCATGCCTTGAGTTGGCAGTAACCTGAAGGAGTTGGCATGCTTGTGAGACGCGACCGGCATGGACCGAAACTCCGCTTGCTTTACATTTGCGCGCTTGTTTCCTGATTTTCGACAACAAATTTGCGGGCCATCTCTTTTCTATCTGTCCATCATGTCCTCTAACGTGCCCATTGCTCATGGTGATATTACAGCACCGACTCCACAGAACACGCCCTTGACGCACGCTCCAATCGCTGCTGGTCTTTCGCGTCCAACAGTCCCCGACATCTCGGAAGATAATGAACCAGCCGAAGATGAAAGTGAAGATCCTGCTCAGATAACTGGTGCTCAGGCCGCGATGTTGGGTCTTGTTCAAGGTCGTCTTGCAGATCTTGTCGGAAAGAGCTCTGGGTATATTGAGAGTCTGCCCATCGACGTGAAGAAGAGTGTAGAAGCCTTGAAAGGGGTTCAGGTCAAGCAAAATGAGCTGCAGAATCAGTACAAGCGTGAATGCCTGGAACTTGAGAAGAAGGTCCGTCATTATTTCCTTAACTTGTGTTGCTGTCCGATTTTTAAAATTTTCTTTCTTTCTATCAGTACCTCGAGCTTCAACTACCTCTATATGAGCGGAGAAACGCGATTATCTCGGGTGCTGCTCAAGCTACTGCTGAGGAGATCGAAGCTGGCAGTCAAGCTTCTTTGAAGGATGATCCATTATACACGCCACTTCCCAGTGATGAAGCCGCACCAGCAGCTATCCCAGAGTTTTGGCTTACCGCACTCCGCAATCATGTTGGACTCTCGGAGATCATCACAGAACGAGACGCTAGTGCACTCAAGAACCTCACTGACATTCGGTTATCGTACCTTCCAAGTGACTCACCGAAACCCGGATTCAAGATCAGCTTTATCTTCAGCCCAAACGATTACTTCGAGAATGACGTTCTTGATAAGACTTACCTCTATCAGGAAGAGGTAGGCTATACTGGTGACTTCGTGTACGATCACGCGATCGGCACGGAGATTAAGTGGAAAGAGGACAAAGACTTGACGAAGGAGTTTGAGATCAAAAAACAACGGAACAAGAGTAAGATCGTTGGTGTTTTGATTGAACGCATCTCATGATCTTCTTTAGACACAAACCGCACGCGACTGGTTCGCAAAGCACGCCCAACCGACTCATTTTTCAACTTTTTCTCGCCACCTGTGCCGCCACCTGAAAATGAGGATGAAGTTTGGATGAGGAGGACCTTGTTGAACTGGAGGAGAAACTGGAGATGGACTACCAGATTGGCGAGGACCTCAAGGAGAAGGTTAGATACCCCCGCAATCATCGGAATATTGCTGACTAATGATAAATGCTCTAGATCATCCCACGTGCCATTGACTATTTCACCGGCAAAGCCCTTGAATACGACGTTATGGATGAAGACGAAGACGACTTTGACGAGCTGGATGATGAAGATGAGGACGGCCAGTTCGATGACGAGGTATGATCCTGTCCACCTATCAACGTCACCCACTGTGGCTCATCCCTTTCAAGGACTCTGATTCTGAGGTTGAGTTGCCAAGACGTCGTGGCCCTCCCAAAGGCCGCGGCTGGCTCGAGTGCCGGTGCTGTCAACCCTGAAGAGTGCAAGCAGCAGTAGGCGAACATCCATTCCATCTCTACGATTTGAGACACCACCTTCTAAAATTTTCTGTCGTTGCATTGTTGACATGAATTAATACAATCTCCTCCTGCCTGTTCTTACATGTAAACACACCTTGCTGTGCAACTCTCATTTTTTTCTGACGCAGAACTAGTTTTCAGTCGTTGCTTGAATCTTTTCTACTAGCCCTAATTAATCAGGGTGTTGTATAAAGGTCTTACGTGTTTGCTTCAGTTTGCACCTAGCATAATGGAACGTAACGAATGGATGTCCCAAGGGCTTCCTCTTTGTTTGCGATGTACTACTTAGGACCGCTGTATATTTTTTCATAAAATACACTCAAAGATTCATTGTGCCCGTATGTAGATGCTCATTTGGTTACACCGTCAGTTGGAACCTCCGCCTGGGGGGTGAGGCGAACTGCATGCCTCCTATCCCCAGGATTGAAGTCTCCAGGTTGCAGGAGTGGACAGTGACTCGGTTGTCCTGCAAACGAACTATGTTCAGCAACTGATCGCAAGAAAGAAACGCAATCCACCCACCCAGACAACAACAGTGCCAGGCTCATACCTCGCACGAATCTGGAAGTCCGCGCCTTTCGCAATGTGGTCGTACAAGAATCTCAGGAGGTACTCAGATTCCTCCGTCTTGTAGCCGACGATGCGGCGCGTGAAGCCCTGGTTCACATAGAGTGCTTTCTCCCCAGTCACAGGGTGCCGGCGAACGAGAGGATGCTTCACGACAACGAGATCAGCATGTGTGATATTGAAAGGCGAGAGATGTCATCTACCTCGGTCAGGATGGGTTCCCGACGAACAATTCCACCACGTCTGCGAGAGGACTCTGCTTGCTCGAAGGCGCTGTGCACGGCGCGCAAGCCTTCAAGGCGTTTCTTGAACTCGGGGGAAAGACGGTTGTATGCCTCTACCTGAGATCCAAATAACGTGTCACCACCGACTTCGGGCTGTGCTAAAATTAGGTATGGTACAGATAGCAATGATAGGGGGGAGATATACCTGGTCCAGAACGAAGAAGAACGTGGTTCCGGCGGGTTGTTTTTCGTAAGACTATATGGGGACATCAGAAAGGGATAAGCTACAGCAAAGGAGGTTGTACTGACAACATCAGAATGCCATTGCGTGCGGTTGATGCGTTCGTCAGGTAGAACCTCCTTCAGCCTGTCGTGTTCAGTACCCCGATAAACTATAGCCAAGGTGAGAATAGAAGAGAGCCACGGCGATAAACAGCCTCACCGACGTGGAACTCTGGGTATCCCTTGACATTCCCTGACGTCGGATGCCTCTGAATTCGTCCAAAGTGCCTAGCAAACCAATATCATAAGTACACATACTCGTTACAAATGCAGAGTACCGCACTTGGCAATCTCAATCTGCCTATCAGGTCCTATATCCTTGAAGTCTTGATTGCGGAAGATAAGGACCTTCCTCTCCGCGGCGTACAGAGCGAGTTCGTTGAGACCGTCCTCACTCAGTTGGGAGATCTGCACACCGGAGATCTCGGTCCCAATAAAGGGGCTTATATGCCTAACATTTGTCTCGGGCGTCAACAGATGTGGCTTTGCACGGTCCGCCTTAGCACCGGGATCCGTGTGCTCTATCTTTGATGTCAGTTCTAGCCCTCCTTCGACCGACGACGTTCACATACCGTAGACTTGCGTTGGAGGGAACTTCTCTTCTGGGTCATAATAGGGGTAGTAGAATGGGTATGAAGGGCCATTCTGTAAACGCACATTGTCAGGACACAATCGAGGGCTACAACACATGGGCAACGTACATCCTGCTTCGTGGCCGTTAACTTGAGGTCGGCAATGGCGTCTGTGACGGAGGGTACGACATCAGAAACTGAAGGCGCCATTACAACTGATTGTGTCGATGGAGTATGGACAATACCCAAAGAACTGGGACACTTCCTTTATATGTTGTATGACGCTGGAGGGGTGGGACTCTGATACGTGTCGTTGACATTGCATGAGCATGCAATCTCAAAGTCAAATGGTTCATTGACTGCTGCAATGGATATCATGGGGTTCGCGACAATAATAACAGGCAATGTGATAGGCAGAAGACACTTCTTGACGAGATAACAGGCTCAGGCGAGCTATGAGGAGCGAATGACGCAAAGTGACGCTACGACCCGCTGATTATGAAGTTACCAAAGCACGCAAGGAATGCACTAGTGTCCCCGATTAGCATGATGCGTGGATATGATGCGCCACTTGCCGGAAGCTGATTGTCTCTGTAAGTTTAGGACGCCCAGTCGAAGACGGGCCGGATAAATGCATTCCGAGTCAACTGGACTGATCATGTGTGCACATCAATGGCCTAATCACGAGAGGCGTTGCGCCACGTATCATGGATGTCATGTAGCACATTGGCTCAGAGTTGGTGGAGCTGTCACGAGACTTGGGAAATGGATCCTGACCACTATCCACTGCTGTTCTTGACCCTCAAATCCCAAGAATGACATACTCCATGGTTTTCGTTCAAGTCTATGCAAGGGTCTTTCGCTCGTCTCAACCTAGACACTACAAAATTCGGTACCGAGCACTGGGCCTGGGAGAATGCATAAGCCAGAATGTGAGCGACGATAATTTTATCACGATCAAAATGATGCTACCTTCACATAACCTGAGAGAACCTAGGTCAATATTTGATGTACGCGACTACTATTATCAGACCGGGCGTCGAGATGGAAATAGACCCGCATGCTTCGCCGTCTTTGCCTACGAACATACCAACCAAGAGAACATTGACCACCACGTCACGGATATAATGTGCTCAGTCAATAGTAAAGCATCGCAGACGTATCAGCCTAGACCCATCAGAATACATTAGGAATGCCGGACAGCCTACAGGGACAAAACGGTTCAACAGTACTTACAATACAACTACTACTGCCATTCGTTTGAAATCACTTGCGACAGCTATTAACTTTCGATGACCGGCTTCCGTCGTGATGCCCAGCTCCCACCAATCGATTGGTATGTCTCTTGCTCTTGGAAATTCGGGACTATGCAGCCACTTGATTTGTCCATGCAATAGAAAGCAAGCTTCTGTCCCATGGCGCTGATACCATCTGAGTGCGGTGGTTATGGGTTCAACGTTACGAAATCCGGCTTTCATCTTTTGTCCGCACCGATCCTAGCTTGGGGATTTGATCTCAATAAAGAGAACAGGAACGCGGCAGAATTGATGGCGAGAGTGATGATGAAAGTCATGAAGAGACTTGTCCTTGTGATAAACATCTCGCTCCTCGACTTCCCCGTTCTGTACACTGCTTTCCTTCGTTGGCACAGTAGAGATATCCAGAACATCGGTTGAAACATTGTCAATGTCAAGACCTATAGCAAATAAATCGAATAAATACTGCGACGAAAATATCGCCTAAACCTATATCTCCTTGACATCTATTTTGTGACACTAAATAACTACTCGAGCACCGCAACGAGGCTTGGAATAGAAACAAAAATAATAATTTCCCGTGCTCCCTGCAAGCACTAGACAACCGTTCGCTTCAACTTCACCGAGCATTACACACTACTGCCAGTCGATATATGCACACGTTCTTGGAAAGCGATTGAGGTCATGCCGGTTGCTGCATCGGAGTCAGCCACGAGTTTGGCATGATATTCTCGAACGCCAAGGATCAGCCGTGGTCCTAGCACGAACATCTGCACGACCTCCAAGATCTCAAACAAGCCAAAAAAAGTCTGGAGATATTGGCTCTGTAGAAATGATAGATCGTGGTCACATGTAGAGGTAAGTGAAAGATTGACATACTGCTGAAGATGTTGGAGAGAATTCAATAATGAGCTGGAAGCAAGAGACAGCAACAAAGCTATCATGTCCGACCCTTCAGTGGAGAAAAGGACAATAATCACGATATGAACTTACCTCGCAAAGTAAACCACGTGAGTTTTCATCAACACCGTAAAACAGTCCCCGATAATCCCTCCTGCCGCATGTAATCGCAGTTCACGGAAGTGTTTTACCGCAATCCAGACTGCGAGACATAGTGTGAGGACCTCCCACACAATAGAGAGTATCCAAGTAACAGAATTCAGAACTGGGGCATCTCCTGTATAGCCAATCGCGCACTGGTAAGTGCCGGAGAGAATGAGTTCCTCTGGTATCCACCAATGAGCCCTATGCACGTTCGTTTTCATCTATAATTAAGCGTACCTCCTGAAGTATGTATGATCATCAGAACGGCGTTTACTCCATCAAAAGTGTTGATCGCCAGAAAGGTGACAACAAGAAATATCAGGATCTTTCTGGATTGTTGATACATGGCATGCAACCGAGTGATGATGACGACTTGCAGCATGTTTCAGTCAAGTTGAATATTCCTGAGGTCTCGCAAGCGCCAAAGCTCACCCCACAGCAGTGCAGATACCAACACGCCCATCCAATTCTGTACGACGTATATAATGAAGCCTGACAAATCCAGCCAGTGTCCAGCCTCGGATAACACACACTCCAAAGACTTACATCTGTGGCAGTATAGTGTAGCAGTCATTAGCGAACCAAGAAGTTGGTAGTAAAGAACCAAACCCACTGCTACAGGGCATCACGGTTAATTGAAGGGGAATAGCAGGCATCTGCGCAGAAGACTCACTGTATCTGTCAGCCAGATGGTCGGAACACTATCTGCATGCCGCTGGTTAGAAGAAGCGAAGAAAGTGAATATACTAAGGCAACATACCCAGGATAGACATGCTGATTACGAGACATAGATGATCAGCACAACATCGATTGTTTAGCCTTCCAAACATACGCAGCATATAAGATTCCAAGATAGCGCACCTAGAATACTTTCAAGTCAGCACATCATGATAACTGCGACACACAAGCTACATACACTGAGGTACAGAACTGTCATCAGGGACCAGTGTTGCCTCTGTAAATAAGTGTATCTTCATGTGAGTTCCCTCTGCCATGAGACTCTACTCACCCAGATCAATTCGACCTATAAAGGGATTCTTAGCGAGATGGCTGCTCCGGTCATGGCATCGACATACCTCTTGCCCAAATGTGAGTGCTGAAAATACTTGTAAGATGTCAGCAATCCTTTAATATTATCGTGCTCACACCAATCATACATCACCCCAACAAAGGCGGCAACTGCGATACCGGAGCCAAGGTTAGATTGAGACATCGGAGTCAGCGCTCAGCGTCAACATCCGATTGCTCTCTACGAACCTGGAAAATAGCTGGCAAAACGAGATACATTGATGAACGGCCACCACACGGGATCATTTGAGATTATGGTCATATTGTTAGAGAATGGGTGTGGGTGATAGGTGAACTTGGTCAACGTATAGCGGTGACATTCGCACTATATGTACGCCGTGCTTGCTGTAGTTTGGTAACCGAAATATCAATAAGATCAAGGCAAATAGATCAAGTTGACGGTTCTTGTATTAGAAAATTAATGAACTTGTTCCCTGGAAGCTCCGTTTGTGGCTAGGTTGGGCTGTGCTTAGAGAGTTACATAACTCTTCGCAAGCAGACGGGTACGGGATTCGGAGGTACAATAACTTGCTAACATGGGACAACGCGAAGAAAGGAACGGTACAAGCTTGAGCTCAGTAGGTGTGGACGTGGACGTGACGATAGTTGGATAGATTCCATATTTGGCAAAAGCAGTGTTGGCACCAAATATGAACACGTTCCACGTGATTCATTTGATGCGAAGAATTGCACTCTTCGCATCCGAGTTACGTGGATACATTCCTTTCATTTCTCTTTTACTCTTTCGTTATCTCACCTTGTGCTCAGACTTCACGATTCCCGTTTCCTCACCGATATCTCTCAACTCGCCATATGCTCCTTATTCTTGTTCCGGCCTAGTCAGGTACTCGAAAACGTATATACACCGCTCATGTACACTCATACCTACAGCGAATCCTACAGTGAGATCCCCGCTCCAAGAACGATCGAAAGCTCCTCCGAAAGTCCTCGTTTCTAGTCCTTTTTCTATCTTTCCTCGTGTTACCTGCTGACACGTCTCGTTTCTACCCCATTTCGTTCACAATTCCCTGTCGGACTCACACTCCGCCTTACAAGTGCAATCACATGGAGTTGGAAACAAAAATAGTTCATTGCGGCTAAGCTCCTGCAGGACAGACCTTAAAGAGGAAATGAGTTCCTCACGTCAGCTGTATAACCATCAGCGTCCAAGGCTAGCGCTCATCCCCGTGTCATCACATATCCGCTACCCTCAACCCAATGTTGGTCCCCAGCGCAGCCAACAGCACAAAGCAAAGAATAGTCGGTCCGTACTTGTCATAATAAAGCCCTTCCGCCGATCGTGCACGCAGACGAAGCGCTCGGTATACGAAGATGATCGCTGAATAGGCGATCGCGAGCAGCGCAGCCAGAGTGAATAGCGCAGCACTAATCAGGCCCCGTAGATCATCTGCAGGTACGAAGTTTAATAACGTCATAGCGATAGTGCCGATCAGCACCGCAAAGCTCAGCCATTTCTGCCATGATAAACATCAGCAGATGAACTCGTTCACCTAATGCAAAAAAGTCGTACCAAGAACGTGCGCTCGTTTGCGAAATACACCTTGGGCTCGATACGAACAGGCACTGCAATCCGCTTCCCAGATGGCGCACACCAGTCTCTCACTAATAAACGCTCATCCTCTCGCAAATTTTCCTCGTCCAGCCCTACAGCCTCCTGCACCTCACCATCCTGTACACGCGGCGGCACATTCTTATGCGCCTGTAAACGCTCACGCAGACGCTCATCGAACGCAGAAGACGGCGCAAGCGGGTCAATCGACACATTCCTCTCCGCCCTCGGAGGCTGCGGCAGCTTCAACAATGGCGTGCGTTCATCGTATACCACTTCAGGAGTGCTGCTGCTTCCCCTGGACTGAGATGCAGGTTCACGTTCTTTTTTACCTATGGTAATCGGACCTCGAGTACCGTACTTTCGTATTTATTCATGTTGACTTGTGAAAACGTATTTGTTCTATGCGAAGGAGACTGGGATCTTCGAATGCTCTGGGAGTGAGTCCATACTTTGGATGAGTTAAATATGGATAGCCGTCGAACACTGCCCGGACAAGCATCGTGTACACCTCGCAGTAGTTGTTTGAAAAAGTTGTATCAGTCAGAATTTGAACAAACCATCAAGGTCCATTTGATCCAACATGATAACTATCAGTTGTTTCAATATTATATGTTACAAAGTTTGAGTCGGAGCATGGATTACATCGGCCCTCTCCTGCAGCTGGCCTTAGAGCTTAGAGCGTCAACGAGTCAACGTCAACATTGAACAAACATTGAAAAAGTCACGACCGGTATCTGTGCGAACTGAATCTGATTAGTAGAATTGGGCTACGGTTCAGCTATCAGCCTCATGGGCCTGGTTAATTCGGTTAAGTAACTTAACCGCCTTCCTGCCCTCCTCCTTCCTTCGCTCTCTTACATCTCCTCTGACCTTGCCATCTAATCGAGATGCCCTTTCCGTTCAAGTTGTTCCAGGGTTTTGGAAAGATTATTGCAATTCGTTTGAAGCGCCCTGAAAACCAAGGACACACACAACGCAACTCAACAACCGCCGATCATGAGGGCAATAGCTCCATCCTTACAGATCTCTCTGATCTCGTTCCTGCACCAATGCTCTCTTCGATTTCTTCGCCAGTGCATCCTGTTTCTGCAAGTAGTGAACCAGGTCTCGAAGAACCCCCCACCGGCTTTCCTTCTACAGCGTACCCTTGGGGCGCATCCCCTGCCCACGAAGCTTTCGACATCGCTCAGGTGGCTCTGCCCTTGGTACAGGCTTTTACGGGTGTAATTCCACTTGTCGGTGCTCCGATGAATGCAGCTATTGGCGGATTGTTGGGAATCCTTCAAGTCATAAATGTGAGTGATTATTGAATGCTGAGATGTTTCTGGATCTCAAGGGCCATCACAGAGATGCGATCAGAACAAGGCGGCCTTGGATGACCTGACATCGCGACTCTATCGACTGTACTACCATTTGTGCAACGCCCCACCTGCCCTAGACCCTCTTGAACATTCTCGGAGAGACCTTTTAGCTAGGTAAATCTATTATAAATGTGTGATTGCATTTACCCCACACTGAATCGCACCCAGAAAGCTGGAAGACACCTCAGTCCGCCTGAAAAAGTTGCAAAAACGTCCTCTAGCATACACATCTGTCACACAGGCTATCACCGGATGCTCAACTGACATCGATCGTTATCTGATGGAGTGTTTGGTTGTGTTCTACCCCCTAGAGATGCTTGCATTTGCTGACTACTCTATGGTCAGTGGTCGTCCCAAATGCAAAGTCAACGCGAAACACGCGAACTGCTTATAATTTCACGGAGGCGGGAGGTTTTTCAGAACATCGAACAGTCCTTCGCACCACTATCTGCATCGCCTTTACCCGGAAGCGTCGCGCCTGGCTGCGTGACGCTAGTAGACGCAACAGGCCGCCACCAAGCAATATCAGTGAACTGGTGCACCTCATATCAGGTCCGCTCGCTGGCCTAAAAATCGTTCTTGTGAAAGCTTACTGGTCAAATCGTCTTTAGCAACTCAATCACATGCTTCGAGTTCTGTTTGAACGCGATGCGATTGAAGCCCAAATTCAAAGACGGTATATAGAAGAAGGAAATTACGATTTGTGCATCGACGAGGGCAAGCAAGTGACCCCACTTACAAGCGACAATTGGTCGAGCATCGAACAAGGCACGAAGATTGTGATGAGGGTTACCATTCAACAGGAGATATCATCACTATCTGGAGTCGACTATCGATGTCATTTTTGCAGCGCTGTGAATCGCCTTGGTGCCAGATCTGTGAAATATGAGTATCGAGGGCGGACTGTTTGCTCCACCGAATGGTGAGTATGTTTGTTTTCTAGGTCCTGATGATGCCTAATGATGAGAAGTCGAGAATGCAAACGATGCTTCCAGATCACCCGTAGCTTTGTGGACTCGAGAGAACTATTCTATAACAGTGACGCCAACCACAAGACTGATGCAGAAACGCTTCTTGTTCGCAACTTTCATGTCCAGGAAATTGTATGTCATCCTGGTACTTCGCTAGCAATCCTGAGCTGACATCACAATGTACCTCCCGCTCTTAGGTTGTGCGTGATCTGGTCTTTCGACCTTCTTAGACGACGCTGACGCTGCCACGGCCATGTCCCGCTCTCAGTTGGTGCGTGATATTGTCTTTGGACGTTCTTAGGCCACGCTGACGGTGCCACGGCCATGTCCCGCTCTCAGAATGTGCGTGATCTGGTCTTTCGACCTTGTTAGGCGACGCTGACCGTGCCACGGCCATGTCCCGCTCTCAGGATGTGCGTGATCTGGTCTTTGGACGTTCTTATGCGACGCTGACCGTGCCACGGCCATGTCCCGCTCTCAGTATGTGCGTGATCTGGTCTTTCGACCTTCTTAGGCGATGCTGACCGTGCCACGGCCATGTCTCGCTCTTAGTTGGTGCGTGATCTGGTGTTTCGACTTTCTTAGGCGACGCTGACCGTGCCACGGCTATGTCCCGCTCTCAGTTTGTACGTGATCTGGTGTTTAGACCTTGTTAGGCGACGCTGACCGTGCCATGGCCATGTCCCGCTCTCAGGATGTGCGTGATCTGGTCTTTCGACCTTCTTATGCGACGCTGACGGTGCCACGGCCATGTCCCGCTCTCAGATTGTGCGTGATCTGGTCTTTCGATCTTCTTAGGCGACGCTGACCGTGCCACGGCCATGTCCCGCTCTCAGGAAGTGCGTGATCCGGTTTTTCGACCTTCTTGGGCGACGCTGACGCTGCCACGGCCATGTCTCGCTCTCAGTTGGTGCGTGATCTTGTCTTTGGACGTTCTTAGGCGACGCTGACGGTGCCACGGCCATGTCCCACTCTCAGGAAGTGCGTGATCTAGTCTTTCGACCTTCTTAGCCGACGCTGACGGTGCCACGGCAATGTCCCGTCCCCAGGAAGTGCGTGATTCCCTCTGCTGGACTTGTTACCACTCGTTGACCCTCACACGACCAGGAAGAATTTTTACGCCATGTTCGTGACACCCCGGCCAAGTACCACGGACTTGGTCATGTAGCGCCCTCACATGATATGTGATCTTGTCTTTTGTGATATATAATGAATACTAACTCTTTCATTGCACTAATAGACAGTGCGTGCTTCTACATTAAGCATGTCTTTGTACTGATTGCATGCAGCATTCAGCAGCATCGAGAAGATTGGGTGGGACAGGGATCAAGATGAAAAGGGGGATGGAATGGAAAATGATTCGGATGATGTGCCTCGGTAGCTGCAGAGGACGTGGACAGACCTGACTTTCCAGAATTGATCTCGTACATGACATATAAAGAAAACGATCTTCCATGTACGGTCTGTCTAAACCTGGTTGCTCATATGTATCTATCTTCAAATCTGACTTGTAACACTAAAATAATACCAAAACGACATTCTTTTTGCCTGCAGTGCTCGATCACTTGCGGCCTGTATTGTTTCCCGTGCTACACACCGCTGCCAATTAACTCATACACACCCGCTCCTGGAAAGCTACTAGCTGTAGTCATACCAGTTCATTTGTCAGTAGTTTACAAGCTTAGAGAGACGCACATGCTGAGCTTTTATGATTCAGTTAAATCGGCCCGAATGTCATATGACTCGTATCACTTGCTCCATCGCAGTCAGCGTCCGTGTTCTCCGGCTAGGCATCACCCAAAGAACACCCGGTGCGACACAGTTTTATAATTACACCGCTCGAAGAACTGCGCACGCCCAGCTGGAGTTTCTCTTGAGTGATTGAAACGTCTCGACAAAGGTTTATCTAGCCTTAAGATTATGATGTGTTGCTGCACTCGGAGGTCGATGTGCGTCGAACGTTCGCCCCCGTGTTCAGCGCAATACATGTCGCAGTAATGCGGCTACGCAAACTTCAAGTTAGATGACACGGTCAAAGGGGTGCTAGTCTCCCCCTGGACAGCCCTTTATAGACCAAGGAAGATAGTCATTCCTTTCTAATAAAGGTCTGCAGTTGATGGAGCTGTCACAATACTCCGAGTCACCTGGGAATGGAGGAGTCCTGACCTCTCCACTGCCGTCCTTGACCCTCGAATCTCTGAAGAATAACATACACGATGATTTTCGTTCCAAACCTATGTATGGGGGTCGCTCGCTTGTTTCAGCCTAGACACTACAAAGTTCAGTCACTGAGCCTGCCAGGAGAATACGTGAGCCAGAATGTGAGCGACCAAAATCATCCAAAGACTTGCCCTCTTAAAGCTGGGACCCTTGATATACTCTGGGAGCTTATACATCGGATGAGTTTTGAAATAAGGAATGCTTTCAGGACGAGTATCGTCTCACCCGTAGTAGTCATATAGAAAGGTTCCATCAGCGCAAACCGTTCGAGGTCCAGTCGAAAGATGATGCCGTCAGTTGTCGGTGAGTACATAATTGCGACACGAACCAGAAAAGTCGGAGCTTGCAATTGGTTGGAGCATGGCTGCATAGATTGCCTGTCCTCATGGCGGATTCAGACTTGGTGAGGAAGCATCATTCGATCTTATGCATCGGGAACATACGAGATCAAGATATTGATACGCTGTAGCAACATTGAATATTGAAGGTATATGATATCGAGGTGAGTGTTCGACTCAAGCTCGCACAAGCATCTATATTTTTTCGCTGTAAATAAGCACAATTCTGCAAACAGAGCCTCAACCGAACGAACTAGTATGATGAGCTACAGGATGGATGAGAAGACAACTGTGTGTGGAGACTGAAATGCTCATAGGAAGCAGACCGAGTTGAGTTGGGGCGTTCCCGCACAGGATGTGGCCGAGGTAGAAATGGAGAGGAAGAGGAACTTGTAAGAGCGTTGGTTCAAAGTCACTAAGTTCGTCAACACTGTTCCTTTTCTCTGAGGAAGTAGAGAGTCATTGGGGTATGCCATGGAATAACTGGAGATCATCGTGCTTGTAAAGGGAGCTGTGATGGCTGCGACCATGACTACTGTGTTGACTTGAGGCGCTAAGCATCGGGTCACGGGTGAGCGCCATCGAACTTCGGGAAATGCAAGGAAGTCGAACGAACGGATCGAAGATTTGTTGAAGTAGGGTCGTCGACTCATGGACCAGTGCCTGAGGTCGAGAACATTCAACAGCGTTAGAACTAGGTCAATTCAGCTGAGTGTGGACGCAACGTTTGATGGATGATTTGAATATAGTCAAACCACGATCATAATAGTACTTACTAGTATTTGCTGTGGCAACTTGAACCAACGCCTCAGTACTCAGTCTCTGTGCGTCTCGGGCCCAGTGACTATTCCCCTTACAGAGACAATGCCAGACGTGTGCCATGGTTCTTTCGGTACCGTCTCGCATGCAGTAGTGGTAGCAGCTGACTGTTTTGGATTCGACATGGGAATTTTGCTGCGTAAATTCGTGTTTACTCGAGTCACCCGGTAGTTGTGGAAGAAAGAAGATGGCAGCCTCCGGATCAACTCCGGATCCTTGTGACGTTGTTTTGTGTTTAAAATAAGGCATAGGCTATTCCTGTCGGACGCGTTACTAATGGTATTGTAGTCAGCATCAAAAGATATGAGCGCTTAAGGCTTAAGCGTCCTCGCTTCACCCCGCTCCATCGCCTTTTCATCGCGCGAAACGGACGAGAACTTTGCAACTGGCATGACCCATGTAATATGCCGAGATAACGTTTCACCTCCGGGCCAGCGCATGCGTCGTAAACGATCCTGACTGGACACAAATTGAGTCACCAAGTCCACCAGGATCGGACAACTTCAGTCGCTCCGAGTCCAGTTTGGTTACTGACCACACATTTTCCGACAGTTGCAGTCCGTGTGGGATAGCAAGTCATCCTTACGAACTACCGGTTAAAATAACCTGTGTATTGGTGGCTTTAAATAACAGGTGTAAGAGCCATCCGAAGTTCATCCATCTTCTCACTCATACTTATTATCATTCTCAAAATCCTCCAAACAGACAATGTCTCTCCCCGAGAACACGACCGTGCTTATTGTTGGTGCAGGCCCCGCAGGTCTCACAGCTGCTCTTTCTCTCGTCCACCACAGGTGCCATGACTTCGTTATCGTGGATGCCGTTGGTGAAGGACTGAATGCATCGAGGGCGATCACCATACACTCTGCAACCGTCGAGGTAAGCTACATGTGCGTTTTCGTAAAGAGGCCCACTGATGTTTCTATGATCTTAGGCTTTAGCCAGTATTGATGCGGCAGATGGCTTACTGTCCCGTGCCATCAAGGGAAAGAGCATCAGAATCACATCCCGTAGTTCGGAGATCTTTGACGCCAAATTTGAACCTCTGAAGAAGCATTCCGCCCACCCTTACGCGCTATATATCCCTCAAAATGTCACCGAGCTTGTACTTGGGCAGAAGTTGCAGAGCCTTGGTGTTCAAGTGCAGCGTCCACACAGGGTAGTAGGAATAAAACAGAATGAAAAGGACTCTCGCATCACTGATGTGTCCTTTGAGGACGGTCAAGTTATCAGCGCTAGATATATTATCGGCGCAGATGGCGCCCGCTCAATCGTGAGACCTCAATGCCTACCTACTTAGCTTAGTAGAATGTCTGACGACCATTTCCAGATCCGTACCGTCGCTGGTATTGGGTTCTCTGACCCAGAAGGCCCACACCTAACCAATAACGTATTGGCTCAGATGGTCTCTGCAGATGTCACGTTCGAGCCTGAACCTGTCGGTCCATTCACCCTCGAGGGCCACCTCAACGCCACAGTTTTTTCAGGCAATAACTTTTTTTTTCTTGCACCGTTTGGCAACCACTTCAACACCGAACTGACACGAGATGGAAAGCCCACTACGAAATCTATCTTTCGTGTAGGTTGTGCCATACCTGCAAAGAACGGAGAGCCCCCCCATGCTCCACCAAAAGAGTACATCCAGAACTTAATCGACACATACGGGCCAGCATGTATATCATCAGATCCGTCTCTTAACCCGAAACCTGTCAAAGTCGACCAGCTGGTCTGGTCGACACGTTTCAGAACCCATTCCGCCATCGCAGACCGTACCTTCACGCGTCTCGGAGCCGCCATTTTTCTAGTCGGCGACGCAGCCCATATACATTCACCTGCGGGCGGGCAGGGCATGAACCTGGCCATCAGGGACGCGATATTCCTTGCAGAGGCTGTCACGAAGCACATTCAAGCATCTGCAGAGAATCCCGATGTGGATGATACCATTTTGCAGGAATTTGCGGATGCGCGTCATGCACGAGCGCTAGAAATCATCGGATTTACCAAGACGCTTTTGAGACTCGCAAGTCTTACGTATGATTCATACGCTTGGTGGATGCCGCTCAGTTGGGCATCCATCCGCGATTTAGTGCTAAGGATATTGGGCAGATATGATTTCGTGCAGTCGAAGGTTGCATGGGGTCTGAGTGGACTTGGGAGACGGTAATCGTAGATTTTTGGATGGCTTGGTTACCGTGTTTTGTATACCATAATTCACGACATTCGTATTTCTGTTTTCAAAGATAGGATAGATGTAAAAGTATCAAATATTCCAGAGTGGTGTATGTTACTGGCTGCAGTCATTGAACGGACTTGAATGTGCTCTTGATCAATGGGAGGGAGGGAGGTGCCAGGCTACAGGCTGATTCTCATGAAGACAGCGAACGCAATTGATACTAGAGCACGCACTATAAATTATTCTTACAAGATGAAGTAATATATGTACGATACGATAATGCGATGTGGCACCCCAATTACCCTCATGTGTAGGTTTCATCTTCGCAACGATAATCGTTAACATTCTGCTCGATGAGCACGACGGCTTTCATAGAGCGAGGCTTGATAGAATATTTGAAGGGCTTTGGGTGGCCGGAATGGTGACTATCTAGACCGGTGCCGGACGTGATAAGATATGTAGCATACACGATCATGCCTGACGAGGAATCGACCTTAAGATCGACGACTTTGAGAATATCGAATACGGCCAGTGGAGGAAGACGACACACCATTTCCCGCAGATTTGCCGGTCTGGACGGTGTTTGTAACATTGCATCTTGAGTCTGGTTTGTGTACATCTGCATTGGTGGCAGAAAGTCTTGACAACTTCAGGTTCGCCATCATCCTGTAGCGTGGTTTGAGCTAGAGGAAGAGGTGTATGGACCTTAACAGTTTCGTTTCTGGAAGTGGAGTTGCAAATACAGCAGTAGAAGCCAAACTCGAAGCTTTCGACGGCATAAACGACCCATCAGAGCCTGCCAAGGTGCCTGGTCGACGAATCCGTAAGTTGGAACTTGGCCGCGCTCCAGGTTGTGCAGGTGGAGCAGAAACAGCTTCAGTAGTCCACCCCCTACCCCACATCGTCCTTGACCTCCCTGTTGTCCAGCTAATCTTCGGGTCAGATGAAGCGATGCCCGGCTTCTGTCGTGATGTGCAGCTCGCACCAATCGATTGTTATGTCCCCTGCTCTTGGAAATTCGAGACTATGCAGCCACTTGATTTGTCCATGCAATAGAAAGCAAGTTTCTGTCCCATGACGCTGATATCATGAAGTCTGAGTGCGGTGGTTATGGGTTCCAGGTTACGAAATCTGGCTTTCATCTTTGGTCCGCAGCGATCCTGGCTTGAGAATTATTGAGGAATTTGATTTCAACAAAGAGAACAGGAACGCGGCCAAATTGATGGTAAGAGCGATGATGAAAGTCATGAAGAGACTCACCCTCTTAAAGAAGACTGGGATCTTTGAATGCTCTGGGAGTCCATACATTAAATGAGTCAAATAGTGAGAACCCCGGACCAGCATCGTGTACACACCGTAGTAGTCTTTTCAAAAAGTTGTATCAGTCAGAATCCGAGCAAACCGTCGAGCTCCAATTAGTCCAATATGGTCGATCGAAAGATGATATCAGCTATTGGTCAATTGCGTGAAAAATGGCACCAATTAGAAAAGGCAAACAAAGTTGAGTCGGAGCAAGGATTAGTACTTCTGATCTTAGACTTCTTCACAAAGTCCGAATTGCATACTAAGTATGCAGGACCATTCGAAAGCGTCGCGCAATGATAGGGCATGTCCAAATGACCTGAACCACTAAGTACTGTCTAGACTCCACCTAAGTTGAGAGACTTCGTGTTGAATTCGTCGACTGGGAGCATTGGAATACAAATGGTGGGAAGTCTATCACGTATGTAAGTCCGACGAGATGGCGCACTCGTTCAACCACTTACATAAGCTCTATATATAGCAACATATTAAATTCATGGTTCGAGCTCACACGCACCGATAAATCCTGCAAACAGAGTCTCGAACGAATGCACAATTACTAGAGTTGGCCGTTGCAAATTCGCGAAGTTCGAGAATCAATTCATCACGATCGTCGGCATTGGGCACTTTGTCGGTTAAGACAGAGTCACACTGATCTGGCGGGGCCCCCTGACACTCGCAAACTTTGCGTGAAACTCTTGTTCCTGGCTTTGATTGGTAGATAGTGGCACAATAGAGTCTATGTAGGGTCGTGCTGTGGACACTGCACAGCAAGCAGCCCTGGCATAGCTTCCTAATGGTTAATTCAGTTAAGTACCTCAACCGCCTTCCTGCCCGCCTCCTTCCTTCGCTCTCCTACATCTCCTCTCACCTATCCTCTAGTTTCCCCTAGCTGAATCTTACACGCAAAAAACAATCACTTATCCTCTGTCCTTCCCATCTAATCGAAATGCCCTTTTCGTTCAAGTTGTTCCAGGCTTTCGGAAACATTATTGCAATTCGTTCGAAGCGCCCTGAAAACCAAGGACGCACACAACGCAAATCGACAACCACTGGCCATGGGGGCGATACCTCTATCCCTGCAGACCTCTCTAATTCCGTTCCTGCACCAATGCTCTCTTCGAATTCTTCATCAATGCATCCCGTTACTGCAGGCAGTGAACCAGGTCTCGAAGAACTTTTCCCCGGCTCTCCTTCCACACCATACCCTTGGGGTGCATCCCCTGCCCGCGAAGCTTCTGACATCGCTCAGGTGGCTTTACCCTTGGTACAGGCTTTTACTGGTGTAATTCCACTTGTCGGTGCTCCGATGAATGCAGCTATTGGCGGATTGTTGGGAATCCTTCAAGTCATAAATGTGAGTGATTATTGAATGCTGAGATGTTTCTGGATTTCAAGGGCCATCACAGAGATGCGATCAGAACAAGGCGGCCTTGGATGACCTGACATCGCGACTCTATCGACTATACTACCATTTGTGCAACGCACCGCCTGCCCTGGATCCTCTTGAACATTCTCGGAGAGACCTTTTAGCTAGGTAAATCCATTATGAATGTGTGCTTGAATTTACCCAACACTGAGCCGCACTCAGAAAGCTGGAAGCCACCTCAATCCGCCTGAAAAAGTTGCAAAAACGTCGTCTAGCATACACATCTGTCACACAGGCTATCACCGGATGCTCAACTGACATCGACCGTTATCTGGGGGAGTTTATGGTTGTGTTCTACCCCTTAGAGATGCTTGCATTTGCTCACCACCCTATGGTCAGTTGTCGTCCCAAATGCAAAGTCAACGCGAAACACACGAACTGCTTATACTGATGTCACGGAGGCGGGAGGAGGTTCAGGACATCGAACAGTCCTTCGCACCACTATCTGCATTGCCTTTATCCGGAAGCGTCGCGTCTGGCTGCGTGACACTAGTAGACGCAACAGGCCGCCACCAAGCAATATCAGTGAACTGGTGCACCTCATATCAGGTCCGCTCGCTGGCCTAAAAATCGTTCGTGTGAAAGCTTACTGGTCAAATTGTCTTTAGCAACTCAATCACATGCTCCGAGTTCTGTTTGAACGCGATGCGATTGAAGCCCAAATTCAAAGACGATACATAGAGGAAGGAAAGTACGATTTGTGCATCGACGAGGGCAAGCAAGTGACCCCACTTGCAAGCCACAAATGGTCGAGCATCGAACCAGGAACGAAGATTGTGATGAGGGTTATCATTCAACAGGGGATGCTATCACTCTCTGAAGTTGACTATCGATGTCATTTTTGCGGTGCCGTGAATCGCCTTGGTGCCAGATCTGTGAAATATAAGTCTCGAGAGCGGACTGTCTGCTCGACTGAATGGTGAGTATGTTTGTTTTCTAGGTCCTGATAATGCCCAACGATGAGAAGTCGAGAATGCAAACGATGCTTCCAGATCACCCGTAGCTTTAAGGAACAGAGAAACCCATGCGCTCACAGTGACTCCAACCACAAGACTGACGCAGAAACGCTTCTTGTTCGCAACTTTCATGTCCAGGAAATTGTATGTCATCGCGGTACTTCGCTAGCAATCTTGAGCTGACATCACGATGTACCTCCCGCGCTCAGAGAGTGCGTAATCTGGTCTTTCGACCTTCTTAGGCGATGCTGACGGTGCCACGACCATGTCCCGCTCTCAGTGGGTGCGTGATCTGGTCTTTCAACCTTCTTAGGCGATGCTGACCGTGTCACGGCCATGTCCCGCTCTCAGTTTGTGCGTGATCTGGTCTTTCAACCTTCTTAGGCGATGCTGACCGTGTCACGGCCATGTCCCGCTCTCAGGATGTGCGTGATATGATCTTTCGACCTTGTTAGGCGACGCTGACGGTGCCACGGTTATGTACCGCTCTCAGAGAGTGCGTGATCTGGTCTTTGACCTTCTTAGGCGACGCTGACGGTGCCACGGCCATGTCCCGCTCTCAGATTGTGCGTGATGTGCTCTTTCGACCTTGTTAGGCGACGCTGACCGTGCCACGGCCATGTCCCGCTCTCAGTATGTGCGTGATATGATTTTTCGACCTTCTTAGCCGACGCTGACCGTGCCACGGTTATGTCCCGCTCTCAGAGAGTGCGTGATCTGGTCTTTGACCTTCTTAGGCGATGCTGACCGTGCCACGGCCATGTCCCGCTCTCAGGATGTGCGTTATCTGGTGTTTCGACCTTCCTAGGCGACGCTGACCGTGCCACGGCCATGTCCTGCTCTCAGTTTGTGCGTAATCTGGTCTTTCAACCTTCTTAGGCGACGCTGACGGTGCCACGGCCATGTCCCGCTCTCAGAATGTGCGTGATCTGGTCTTTCGACCTTGTTAGGCGACGCTGACGGTGCCACGGCCATGTCCCGCTCTCAGTATGTGCGTGATCTGGTCTTTCGACCTTGTTAGGCGACGCTGACGGTGCCACGGCCATGTCCCGCTCTCAGTATGTGCGTGATCTGGTCTTTCGACCTTGTTAGGCGACGCTGACCGTGCCACGGCCATGTCCCGCTCTCAGTATGTGCGTGATCTGGTCTTTCGACCTTGTTAGGCGACGCTGACCGTGCCACGGCCATGTCCCGCTCTCAGAATGTGCGTGATCTGGTCTTTTGACCTTGTTAGGCGACGCTGACCGTGCCACGGCCATGTCCCGCTCTCAGAAAGTGCGTGATCTGGTCTTTCGACCTTGTTAGGCGACGCTGACCGTGCCACGGCCATGTCCCGCTCTCAGAAAGTGCGTGATCTGGTCTTTCGACCTTGTTAGGCGACGCTGACCGTGCCACGGCCATGTCCCGCTCTCAGAATGTGCGTGATCTGGTCTTTTGACCTTGTTAGGAGACGCTGACCGTGCCACGGCCATGTCCCGCTCTCAGGAAGTGCGTGATCTGCTCTGCTGGACTTGTTACCGCCCGTTGACCCTCACGACCAGGAAGAATTTTTACGCCGTGTTCGGGAGACCCCAGCCGCCAAGTACCACGAACTAGGTCATGTCGCGCCCTCACATGGTATGTGATCTTGTATTTTGTGATACATAATGCATACCAACTCTTTCATTACACTAATAGACAGTGCGTGCCTCTACATTAAGCAATTTCAGAGCATGTCTTTTGTACTAATTTCATGTAGCATACAGCGGTATCGAGGAGATTGAGCAGGACAGTGATCAAGATGAAGAGGGGGACGGAATGGAAACTGACTCAGATGAAGAGTTTCGGTAGCTGCAGGGGACGTAGACAGACATGATTTCCAGAATTGGTCTTGTCCATGGCATATAGAGAAAATGATCTTCTATGTACGGCCTGTCTAAACCGCTCATGTGTATCTATCTCCAAATCTAACGTGTGACATAACGAAAATCCAAACGAGATTGTGGTTTTTGCCTGCAATGCTCGATCACTTGCAGCCTGTGCCGTTTCCCGTGCTACGTACCGCCGCCGATTAACTTGTACATACTGCATGATTCCCAGGGAAAACTGGACATAGCCAAAACGGTTGAGATCAAGCGGAATACGACGAATTTAGGAGCACCATATTTCACTATAGGAGACTCGCTGTGGAGACAAATAGAATATTTTGCATCTGCTGCAATCTTCTCGAATGTTGTGGGATATGTTAAGAATATCGATATCATATTTCAGCATATTTCAATCGAGTTCCACTGGTACGACAAAATCAGTTGTATTCGGATGAAATATGCTATGATCTACTGATACAAATGCTTCGACCTGCGACCAGAAAACACGACATGGGATGATAGCGACAGCGATGCAAAACACGATAGCGGGGAAGCGATACAACAGTAAGCACAAAGCAGCAACAAGAAAGGCAAGTAAAGGGTATGTTGGCAAGACGAGAGGATCTAATATCCAATGACGAAACGATACGATGAGCAATAATGAGATGGCGAGGAAAGTGGCAGTACGGAATGAGGGGAAGCTAGTGCCATCGATGATGTTGCTGTTCTTCGTTGACAGCCCTTCTCGTTCCTATACATTCATTAGACTAGACAACATAAAGAAGAATTCCACTTACTGAGCATACAACCTTTGTTATGATACATGCGGTGATAACATACCTAAATCGGAGATTCATACAATCCGCTGAGGAAGTTGGCAACAGTAGGAGGATGGCGACTTAGCGGGAAGATGATGGTTATGAAGAGAAGTAGGAAAATAGGGTTGCCCCAACGAATTATAACTTTGGGGTTAATGATGTCACAAACTTTGCGCAAACAAAAGAATACTAGCTTTTGAAGTGCGATCGACAACGATGTAATGTAATGTTTTTACGATGCGATGCGTAGATGATCGTGTCGTTGAAGATTACACAATATTATAGCATAAATTATATGTCTAAACAATATTTCACTTGATCTCAACCGTTTTGGCCATGTCCAGTTTTTCCTGGGGCTCATGGACGATACCGCATGTAAGTCTGAGATGTCTCACCATTAATGTGCGCTAGAACAAAATCACGGCCAAGCCAGCTGTCGCAGTAAGCTGCGCCCAAAGATATATGCTCCTCATTAATAGTACATGAGGTCCACAGCCCCCCGGAAGCTCCTGCCAAGGTACACCCGCCCGACCAGCTAAAATCGGCCTCAAAAATGCGAAACTTTTGGCCTCAAAAATGCAATTCCGGGCAGAGGTCAAAAAATCACGTGGTGTGACATGGTGTGACCTCCTGCTAATGCGTGACAGATGGTGACACGCTGCTCACCGGTGACAACAGCGGCGACCATAGAGGCACATAGTATCTCAATCAAATGTAATAAGTTTACTAGAATAGATCAACCACTATTTATTGGTCTCTCATGCCCCCCTCGCTGGAATCTTGATGGTAGGCGGCAATTTTAGAATAACACGTTTGACGGATGGTCGAGAGAGAGTTGCCTAGCGAGCACCTGCTTTAGCGGTTAAGGTGAGATGATTGTGGAGCTGCTGTGCGAATAGATTTCCATTGAGGTGGTAAATGAGTTGCTGTATAGGTGCATGAGTGTGGAGCTCGAATGTCTTGAGAGTACGTGAGAACAGAGGAAGGTTGGTACCATCCGAGGAATTTTCATTGTCGTCGTCAGATGCATCAAGTTGCTATCAGAAACAATCATGCATTCAGGATGCGTAGTGCCGAATATATGATTACTTACAATGTCAGAGTCAAGTGCACGATAAACACGAAGTGAAATATATGATAGTTCAGCAGAATTTGATGAGGAGGGCACAGATCCATGCTGATTTTTCCCCTTCTTGTAAAGGTCGAGCACCTTGCCAATGTACATACGCTTCTCGTTGCGAATAATAACAAATGAGCCGCGACACAGTGGATGCAATGTATGCACATTTTTGCTGGCAATGTAAGGAAGTCCTGTTAAATAGTTGATTGATGTTGAATAATTAGATAAACAAGAGAGAACGCACCTTTTATAACACCCTTCGGCAATGCCCCAATAACTGCTTTCCATCGTTCCTCCCTAGCTTTTGTTGGGTTCTTGAAATTGACGTCGAGCTTTTGCACCACCGCCAGTCAATGGGAGTATTCTCTCGTTATCGATAGCTTCGACTTTGATGCTGATTCCTCCTCGATAACACGATGCAGTACAAATTTTGGGTCAATGGTGATGACACGCTCCGAGTGAACCTTTGTCTCCGACTGATGGGACTTGCGAGCATTCAAAATATGAGGTATAGATAACTTCCCGTCATCATCAAAAAGTGCACTCTTGGCCATGGCTAATACAGGCTCGACATTAGAGGCAGCCCCTGCTGTCTTCAAATCTTCCAAGGCCACATGTTCTGCTAGTGATGTCCGAGTCGGCCCAGAACTGGGTATGTCAGCTATGACACGATCATAGTCCTCACATAGTGCTGCATAGCGCATTGTGGACTGTGTCACTGCCCGAGAAATGGCTTCCCCAGTGATAGAATCCAACAGAGGCGATGCGTCATCGTCATCCGAATTGTTGTTGCCACCACTATCAGTATCCACGGAGGAATCAGAGTCGATGTCGTCATTACTGTCTGGGATGGCTGATGTCCTGTCTGCAGTCTTTGGGCGTGTACGCTGTGGTGAGGCACCCAGGGGTATTAGTGCAAGGGGTGATTGAATTGTTGGGCGAATTGTTGGGATGTGCAGCAGCTCTTTGCAAAACGCAGTCGCTTCATGGAAACCTAACTCAACGATTGCATCAAGATGTGCACTTGTTACTGTGACAAGCAGGTTGTGCTTTTCACGTTGAGACAATGGTGAACTGCTATATTCGATAATGTAGCCGACCCGCGATAGTTTCTCCCGCTTCTCGTTGAATTGACCTGACATGAGAAGGTGTTGTCGAAGCATTATGTGCTGAACAATCTTCAACAATTCTGCGTATGCATAGTTTGGCAGTAGTTGCCGTGAGATGCCAAAAAAGTGCTCCACAAAGTGCGTTCCAAACATCCAAATGCAGAACAGTTGGTCAGGATAGAAACGTGCATAGGCAAGAACAAGCAGGATAAGAGTGTCGCAGAGGCGGTTGAAGATATTGAAGCTTTCTGGTGAAATGAAGGATCGACGAATGGAATAGAGATCAGGGAACAATGATGTGAGCGTCATGATATGGGACCGCCAGAGATGCAGGAAAAATCGTGCTCATACAGTCGCAAGAACACGATCTTCATTGCTCATGGTGCGACTAAGCCATGCATCAAAGAGAGACCCTAGAATACACATGAATGATCTCCTAGAACGATTGATATTGTTACAGTGACACACCAAAAATAAAGAGATAAACAAAAAGGCCATCAAAGCCTTCACGGATCTTACGTCCCTCGTCAACAGGCACTGTGGTCGCCAAGAGAGCCACGTAATTGAATAATAGGAATGCAGCACCATCGTCTTGCTTATCTACATTTTGCACATCACCAAGGACAAGTCCAGACTCCCCTGTAGCGTGAAGATCCAGAAAGGAACTATTCACAACAATGCCAATGCCTAGGCTAGCCGTATGTGTGCCATGTTGAGGCTGATTTCGGCATGTTTTATGACCATGGGGTGGATCCGAAATAGAGACCATAGGCCCCGTACCAGCAAAAATGGGTACACGAAGATGGAATCCATAGATCTTGTAATCGTAGGTAAGGCGTTCTTGCTCTGACTGCTCTTGATCCATTAGTGTCTGTGCAAGTAGCTCTGAGGCTGCACCATCAGCCGCAAGTGCCACTATGGGAAGCCCAAGCCACCCTGCCATACAAATGATCTTCATGTGTTCAGCGTGAATCCCGACACCATTGTCTTTGCCATTAGTCGGTAACAAGGCAATAACTTGAGGTTGACAGCCGGGTAATGGAACCTGTGAATTCGCAGTGAGATTGGATGATGAGAAGAAAACTTATAGTACCTGTGCGAGGATTTCTCTGACTTGTGTAGCCATTGCATTCTTCTTCTTGATGGTGTCAATAACTCGTGCAATATCCTCCACTTCATCAACTTTGCACTCCTCATACGGTAGCACAGAGCCAAGAATATGACTGCCAAAGTCATTGGAATAGGTCAGGTGGCTTCGAAGCTTCGTACAATCACCAGCTATGATGATAGGCCCTTTATAGTTGAGAGAATCGACAAAGCGCTTCACATGTGCTATATTCTCAATAACAAGATTTGGATTTTGAAGAGCATCCTCTGATCTTGCCGTAAGAGTCCTTCAATGTGAATTAACACCTTGACTCGGTGACAACAATGAAGACTCACCTCAAGTGACGTGGAGAAGGTCCAGCCAGCTGAGAAGTAATAATGCCATACTGACGAGCCGAGTCTCCTCCGTATGAGCGCACAAGTGTCATGAAATTAAGGAAATTCTTTGGGTAGCGAATACCATACTTCAGTTTTTTGTTGTTCGAGGTGTCATGCTTGAGCTGGTCAGCAAGCACCATACACAGCTCTTGAAACGTCTGGCGGCCTTGGAGTTGACCATCCCGTGCAGCTTTAAACAGCTCCAGGAAGCATTCTGCATCATTTCCGCGTTGAAGTAGGTGATGGGCATTCCAAACAATTGGATCATTGAGCTTATCTTGTAAATCAAGGGCATCGGCATTTTTCAGAGTATGTGGTGTGAAAGTGTCTCGTGCCGCGTGAATCGCATGCTGCTGCTCCTGTGGGAGTTTTGACTCTTGCACCTTCTACTAAATCCATCAGCCGCTTTATTTACGTCCACTGCGAAGAATGAGACAAACCTTGCGCACAGCCCTTTTGAAAGACTCATCATGAGCAACCCCATGGCAAGCATCACAAATTAAATCATTATTCTTCGTCACTCCTTCACAATGCATTGACGACACATATCCTTCCTTTGCATTCACCTCCCATCGTGCCCATGCCCGCAAAGCCTCATACAAGGCCCGTTTTTCTTTCTCCGTCCACAGACTCTCTTCCGAATGCACATTTCCAGATCCATCTTTTGGTACAGGAACCCTGGGACGAGCTGAAATGTTTTCACCCTTCAATGGCGCGAATTTTTTATATTGGAAGAGTTGACGGCTGCAACGGGTCCGAAATAGTGGTGAGATTCCACCAAGAGAACGTGTTTGTGTCCTGAGAATATACTCTGTTGGTACATGCAGGTGTTTGCAAACCAATTGAGGCTCGTCAAGTTTCTTGATGGCTTCTCCAACAACGGTATGTGATGGTGCAGTGCTTGATGCTTTTGCAACTGACACCACAAGTTTTTCATGTGGTGCGCTGAGAACCACAGGTTTGAAGAAACGGGTGATAGAAGGAGTCTGTAAGGCATAAGTTTGACTCGTGAATTCAAGAAGGACACACTTACAACTCCAACTGTCTTCGTAGTGTAAGTCGTCTTCATTTTACCGTCGTCCTACAGGAACATTAGCCTTATAAAATACAGTTGCTAATGATGAAGCATCATGCACACCCTGCATCTGAACAGCGACTCGCACATTTGCTTTACCATTGATCTGCGAACATTTTCCCTTATGTTGCAGCCAATTCGCCGGACAGAATTCACGGTCCTTGTTTAGCTGAATCCAATGGAAACATCCTCCACATTTGACACGTGAGGACTCAACATTCTGTATCCCATGATCGTCCCATAAGCACTGCTCTCATTGGCTCAACAATATCTTTGCTCCTCGTGCTCCAGATGTGGCCTTGGAACGTTTCTTCAATCGTTTCTCATCGTCAGTGTTGCTCCCATCACTGGCATCATCAGTCTCCTTGCTGCCATTAACACTTCGCTTGCCAAGTATTTTTGAGTCTGGGAAACTAGCATGGGACACCTTTTGCACTTCAGCTGGTATCAATTCATTCGAGGTGGTGGGGAACAGTGCTGTTGACGCCTTTGTCTGATTGACTATCTCAACAGGTTCATCATCTTCGCTGTCACAGGTTGCCTTCTTCGATACACGAATCACGCTTTGATTCAATGAGTACCCCTTTGATTCAAGTGTATTTGATGGACCCACGGTAGCGTCATCAATGTCTCGAGAGCTTTATTTTTCATGGCGTCTTTCTTGTCGTCTGTCACAGAGTCATAGCTTCCATTGTCGACAAAGACATCTATTGCCATCATAACAAATAGCCCGCACGACCATCCATCTATTTGTCCGTGATATTCAAGAGGTGAGTATACCTTGCGCTTCCAATATACAGGTGACCATTCTAAGACAGGTTTTCCAAGGCATGCCATCACTGCATTTACAGCTTTGACGAGCATCTTAACAATAGTATAGTAAGTGTTAGTGTAATTTATGTGATGACAGTATTCACGAACGTTTTCGGCCCATTCGTTCATCGAGTTCAGCTCCGGAATACTATCAAACACAGCAATCTCATTCCGGGTGAAGTCAATGATGCCAAGGACCCAGTGTTGGGGCTTGCCACCACATAATGGGAATGCCCAACGTGGACGTGCAAGGAGCTCGTCTAAAGACGTGTCTGTATAAGCCTTGTGGTACATATCATTTGACTCAGTATCTCATCTTTCCGTAACTGCTTCGAGGACTTACAGATGCATGTATGTGACCATGAATTGTGCCATAGGCAATCCCTGATTTTACTTGGCCAGATGCGATTGGCGCGATCCACGAATTAAATATACAGAAATCTCTGTCTTCATGCATGTCTTCCGTACATGCGCCGTATGCATTGATACTTGTACCAGTGATCTTTCTCTGGCTTTCAGAAGGAAGAAGAGCCTGAATGTCGGCATGTGTAATTTCGGTACCTCGTATCTTCCGGATCTGATGCTTAAGGTCTTTGGGAAGCATGATGACGAGAAGCTGTTTTGTGAGGCATTTGAGGGGGCGTGTATTTGAGTCGGGACAGGTCAGAATAGGGTTCACCGCTGGACAAGTGTCCTATAAACCTGCCCTGAAGGACGTGAAAAATGCAATAGCCGGATAGGCCTTTCGTCCACAGCATCTCAAAAATGCTATTTCCGGGCAGAGATTTTGCGATATTTGGCCCTCAAAAATGCTATTTTGCGGGGGTACATTAGCTGGAGCTTCCGGGGGCCTAGGTCCACCCGGTCAAAAGATTAGTCGCGTGAGAAATGGCACGGATCAGAAAAGGCTAACAAAGTTGAGTCGGAACTTGAAGTTGGAATCTAGATTGCCTCAGTTCGAACTCCGAACTTGGTGAGGAAGTTTTGGGACGATGATTTCTGTGAGACATTAAACATAGGTGTGTGATATCGAGGCGAGTGTTTGGCTCAAGCTCACGCAGGCTCCTAGATTTTATATTCTTTGACGTTACAGTACTGAATGAGTACAGTTCTGCAAATAGAGTCTCAACCAAATGAACTAGCATGATGTGAATACTACCTACAATTTGGACAAGAAGATACCGCGAGTGGAAACTGAAATGGCCCACAAGTTGAGTTGGCCGAAATGACTTAGGGCGCTCGCGGAACTGATGGCATGAGCATCTGTGGCTCACCAATCCTTGATGTGCTGCCGTCGGAAGGTGGACTTGTCATGCGCGAGATTCACCATGTGAGCCTGACTATAAAATTAGTAGAACAGCGCATCCTCGGGTCCGAGTCAGCGAGTCCCTCGTACGAGTCATGCACCAGTTTCACCATGTATGGTAAGCACTCCCTAGCTATTGGTCCATGAATAAACTGGTGGAACAGTGCATCCTCATGGATGCCGTTCCTGTTACTCACGTCCAAAAACAGGCTACCTGTCCTGTTATGTTGGTTTTGATCCAAGCTGTGCGCACAATGAGTCAATTGTTTAGTTATTCCTGTTTCTTCACTTGATGGGGTGCGTTCCATACAGTTCAGCATTCTGAGAATGAGATTAACTATGTACTTGCAGTGTTCTCATCGTTATCAACATATATAACAGGCTTCATGATCACTACCTTTTGGTACCGTTCAATCATGTTCCGAGCTGCATCCCTGTTGATGATCTTCCTCCTAGCCTTGTCCATCGCGGCATCGCCTGTCGAAATCCGCGACTCCCCCATCACCCTCTCCGTCGCCAGGAGGCTAAACACCTCTGGCGGTACCATCAACCTCCTACAGCACGACCAATCTCGCGCGACCGCCCTCAAAACTGTTAGCAGAGACACTCTCAGCCGTCGTAGTGGTAGCACTGTTGCGACAAATGATGCTGTATACTACACTGCAGCTGTTGGCATTGGCAGCCCTGCCACAACCTGTGCGTTCAGCAATGAGAAAACATGCAGCCACTAATGTACTATTTCAGACAACTTGATTGTCGACACCGGTAGCTCGTTCACATGGGTTAGTGCCACCTCGTACGTGAAGACCAGCACCAGCGTCAACACTGGACAGCCTGTATCGGTCCCTGGCTATGGTTCTGGTACGACATACAATGATATCATAAGTTGAAAATACCTACAATTATCTCTAGGAACTGAGTACACCGACACCGTCACTCTCGGAAATCTCACCATTATCCGGCAGCCGATTGGTGTTATTTCTACTTCGACGGACTCTGTCATCGGTGTCCTTGGCATTGGGCCCCTAGACTTGACAGAGGGTATCCTGGGAGAATCATCTACCATGACAATCCCAACCGTCACTGACAGCCTGTACAACCAAGACATGATTTCTCAGATAGTTGTTAGTGTCTCTTTCGAGCCCACCACTTCGGAATCAGACATCAACGGAGAGCTCACCTTCGGTGGAACTGATGCTACCAAGTACACCGGTGCCATTGCATACACGTAAGTTGCTGCAGCTTAGGGATCAATCTGGACTGACAGTAGTTTCTTATTTCAGTCCTCTCACCACCACCGAACCTGCATCCTACTACTGGGGTATCACCGAGAGCATCACTTACGGCACCACGACCATCTTGACTGAGACAGCCGGTATCGTCGACACTGGCACCACCCTCATCCTCATTGCCTCCAGTGTGTATCTCAAGTGTAGCGAATAATCATGGTCTAATCAGTGTTTGATAGATGCATATGATGAGTACCAGTCTGCAACCGGTGCCACCCTGGACGAGACTACTGGTCTTCTCCGCATTAGCTCTACCCAGTACAGTGCTCTCGTGAACCTGAACTTCAATATTGGCAGCGTATGCTTCTGTCTTAAATCTTAATGTCCCTTGTTCACCATTTTGCACAGAATACTTTCGCTCTCACTCCTAACGGCCAGATCTGGCCTCGTGCCCTTAATACCTATATTGGTGGTAGCAGCGACTACATCTACCTCATTGTCAACAACCTTGGCACTCCCAGTGGTGAAGGTCTCGACTTCATCAACGGCTACACTTTCCTTGAGCGCTTCTACTCCGTGTTTGATACCACCAACTCCCAAGTCGGTTTTGCCACAACCGCATACACGAATGCCACCACCAACTGATGCAACTTTTTTGGGGGTATTGGGTATTTGTGCGTCATAATATAACATTATTCACAACTAGGCTATGGACCTCTGGAAGCACCGCTAGAAATAACTGTGACCGGAGTTGTAGTTGAATGTTCGAATGTTAGCTATTCTGTTCCACGAAGACACCCCGGCTCCACTGGCCCTAAATCATGAGACCAGTCACCTGGCGTAAACTTATCCAGGTCTCTAAACTAGATTCAAAAACCCTGATATATGTGCTCATTCCTCATGACGGTCAACATCGAGAAACCCTCCCAATCCAACTTGGAATAATTAATGCTAGTTTTCCCATTAGACTTACGGCCACGGCCTAAAAGCAGCTGTGGTGGATTATCAGCAATTGAAGCAAACGTTTGACCGAGAAAAGGAGCGGCTAAGTGTGTGCTGAATAGCGTGTTCATTGAAGTGACAGCTCATCCTGAGCGAACACTGGAAAGCATCTGATAACATACTCAAGTTGCGACTAGCATGGCCTAAGGCTCAAAGCTACAAAGCGCTCAGTGGTGTAGCTCGTATAGAATCATTCGGTGTTTGGAATATTGTATCTTGGGCCTGATTTGCGTGCATTTGCATTCAAGGTGAAAGAAAGTCTTAACAAGTTCAGGCTCGCCATCGTCCTGTAACGTGGTTTGAGCTGGAAGAAGGGGTACATGGACCTTGGACCTTGGACAATTTCATTTCTGAAGTGGAGTTACAAATACAGCTAGCAGGAGAACTTCGTGGCACAAGCATACCAGTGTTTTAGATTCGACATGGCCCGGTAGTTGTTGTCAGACCTTGAGGACAGTGGACAACCTTGGGACCGATATTGCCCATATCAAGTCGCAACTTCGAGTCGAACGTATATCGTGGCCTGAGTGTAACTAACTAATCATCGTATTGTCTCAAGTACATCATGATGCCGCTGACCTCGCAAGTGATAATGGAGGAAAATAACAATCAACACTGCCGAGAGTACAATACATACTGCCATGGTAACAGGTCGCGATTTTGTTACGAATTGTAGTGCTTATCTCAGAGATTAGTTGACAAGCGCAAAAGGTTCTTCCTATGGGAAGATGTGAAATAGTAGTTTGATGATCTTTAATGATCCGATGCATAGACCGACGGAAAACGAGAATCATGAAACAGGGTGTGCGCTGTCGTCCTTCATGGCCACAAGTCAGGATATTGTTACAAAATCTCACGTTATTTTACGTGCCAGAGGTACCTCCCGCGAGAATGTCGTGGATGAAGTTGTAGTAGTGTAAAGCGTAAGTAAGGCAAAATGACAATGGCCAAAATATTTGGCGTAAGTATATAGGCTTGCCACCCTGGTCAGCTGCAACGGAGGAACATCATATAACGTTGTTGTGCACTGTTCATATTACTCTAGATCTCCGGGCTATGTAGCTACAAATCAATTAATCAGATATATTTAGCAGTGGCAGAGTTCTTCTACAATTCGCACGGCTACAGTATCAAGGACTCATCGCTTTACTGATGATGGCCCTTGCAGTCCGTGCGCGATGGCAAATCATCCTTCACTACTACGGATTACTAAGATAACCTGTACACTGGTGGCCTTTCATTAAAGGTGCAAAAGCTATCTGAAGCTAATTCATCGTCTCAGTCGCTTTATCATTCTCAAAATCCTCCAGGCAGACAATGTCCGAGTCTCTCCCCGAGAACACGACCGTGCTTATTGTTGGTGCAGGCCCCGCAGGTCTCACAGCTGCTCTTGCTCTCATTCACAACAATCTCCATGACTTCGTCATCGTGGATGCCATAAGCGAAGGATCCAATTCATCGAGGTCCGTCGCCATACACTGTGCAACCATCGAGGTAAGCTACCCGTGCATTCATAAGAAGGCCCACTGATGTTCTTGTGATCTTAGGCTTTAGCAAGCATCGGTGTCGCAGATGGGTTACTGTCTCAAGGCATCAAGGGAAAGAGCATCAGAATCATATCCCGTAGTTCGCAGATCTTTGAGGTCAAATTTGACCCTCTAAAGAAACATTCCACCCACCCTTACGCACTTTTCATCCCTCAATGTGTGACCGAGCTTGTACTTATGCAGAAGTTGCAGAGCCTTGGTGTGCAGGTGCAGCGTCCACACAGGGTGGTAGGAATGAAACAGAATGAAAAGGACTCTCGCGTCACTGATGTGTCCTTTGAGGACGGTCAAGTTATCAGCGCTAGATACGTTATCGGCGCAGATGGCGCCCGCTCAACTGTGAGACCTCAATGCCCCCAACTTAGCTTAGTGGAATGTCTGACAACCATTTCTAGATCCGTACCATCACTGGTATAGGGTTCTCTGACCCAGAAGGCCCACACGTAGTCAATGAAGAGTTAGCTCAAATGGTCTCTGCGGATATCACGTTCGAGCCCGAACCTGTCGGTCCAGTCACCCTCGAGGGCCACCTTAACGCCGAAGTCTTTTCGGGCAATTTATTCATTTTTTTACCATTTGGCAATCACTTCAATGCCCAGCTGTTGCGAGATGGAAAGCCCTCTACGAAATCCGTCTTTCGTATACTTTGTTCCATACCCATAAAGAATGGAGAGCCTCCCCGTGCTCCACCGAAAGAGTATATCCAGAACGTGGTCGACACATACGGGCCAGCGTGTATATCATCGGATCCGTCTCTTAACCCGAACCCTGTCAAAGTCGACCAGCTGGTCTGGTCGTCAGGTTTCAGAACCCATTCCGCCATTGCAGACCGTACCTTCACACGTCTCGGAGCCGCCATTTTTCTAGTCGGCGACGCAGCCCATATACATTCACCTATAGGCGGGCAGGGCATGAACCTGGCCATCAGGGACGCAATCTTCCTCGTAGAGGCTGTCACAAAGCACATTCAAGCGTCTGCAGAGAATCCCGATGTGGATGATACCATTTTGCAGGAATTCGCAGAGGCACGTCATGCACGAGCGCTAGAAGTCATCGGCTTCACCAAGACACTTTTGAAACTCGGAAACCTTCCGTACGATTCATATGCTTGGTGGATGCCGGTCGGTTTGGCATCCATCCGCGATTTGATACTAAGGATATTTGGCGGATGGAATTTCGTACAGTCGAAAGCTGCATGGGGACTGAGTGGCCTTGGGAGACGGTAATCGCTTGGATGGTTACCGCATTATATATACCCATGACATTCGTATTTCTGTTTGCAAAGATATTTTGTGTGTTTTGTTTTGTGCCAATACTACATCAAATGCAAGAAACATCAGAATGTTTATATCAGCGCTTCTGTGAGTCGGGCATATGTACCTGGACAGATACTGCAAAGCAGAAATATAGCATTCCACACGTAACTAACGACGTGATATAAATATGATACCCTTGACCATGGCAAACCTCGAGGGCTGAGGCGATGCGCTGTGTTGACCTCGAGCGCTAGTAGGCTAAGCATCGATTGACATTTCCAATTGAATGATCGAATATCTGTAGTGATTGTGAATCAAATTTAATCAAACCGTGGAGGCTATGGTGCAGTTCACTTATGCGCCGCTACTTTTGTGCAAAATTCCCGACTCCCACGGTAGTGGAGGAGGGTTTTGTCTGCAACAAATGTGCCGTTCTCTACCAAATCATGCATTTGGTTGCGTTGAGTCAAGTTCATTCTGATGATCGCCAGTACATTGGGGTTGGCCTGGTAGGGAATTCAGCGGCGTATCAAACAGATGTTCAGTGTCTGCATAGGTAGAAGCATGAGATGCTGAATGAGGAAAAAAAGACTGGCAGGCGCCCATGTCTATTGTGAACTGGAAAAGAATCTCGACGTTAAAAATGTTAATGGGAGATTGTTGATGTAGCGCTTGATGTTATGTAACTTATCAAGTTGTGACAGGGGCATTGTAAATCACAATTTCCCTTATAACCTGCTTATGCGACCGCGTTTAACAGATGAGTCCAAGACTCACGCGCACGCTCGCACATTTTGCACTAAGCCATTTGAAAGGAAGTCAACAACATCGTTGATGGGCCCAGTGGTGCTTAGTGGAGCCTCAAAGGGACTCAAGTGGAGCATATTGGAAATCGCTCCATCCTTATAATATGTAGATAGATGCAGCATGAGATGTATAATAGGCAGGCTGTCATAGTCCAGGGTGTCATTGTCCAGGCCATCCACATCATCAAACAAGGGCATGCGCGTTGCAGTGCATCTCAGGAACTTCTCTGTAAAGTAGTCAGATCTGCCATAGGTGATGAACAAAAAACTCACTTAGCCCAATGCAAAAGCCCCTGATCATTTTATTCCCACCAATTTGAGCCTTTGGATTGGCTTTTATATAATTGTCTATGCTCCTGATCTTCTCCTCCGTGAACGACTGGGGTGTTTGTGCCAATGCAGCTGTCATACCGTTGTAGTTAGTGAGGGTTGCGACAAATCGGTTCATTTTACACTGGCCTTTCTCCACACCGGCCTGCAGTGCCGAGTGAATGAATGATAGGAGGGTACAGCAACACTTACCATGTTGTACATGGGCCAGATTGACCTTTGAAACAGCCCGTAGGTGTACCTTGGCGTCTGATGTGTCCGCATTACGTCCCATAGGGTCCTCCAGTCAGCCTTGCAATTCGGGTTTTTGCATTGGAAGTCATCCAACATCGACGCCAAATGGTCAGCACTAGCAACAGCAGTTGAGCTCCTGCAGCTCTCCTTAGACCATTCCTTGGGGGGTGATGCTTTCTGAGATGCAGAGAGTGGTTAGGATGTTAGATGTCAGTCAAGAGAAAACATACATTAGTGCTGGCCGCCCGTAGTGCAATTAGGTTCTTATCAGCAGGCACAATCACATGTACCTGTTCATCAACGGTCAAGTTGACTGTATAGAAACTGTACCGCCCCTTCCTTATGGTGGTAGGCCTGTGGGAGAGCACCAACTCTAAGTCATGTTGGACCAAGTTGAGTGGAACACATGAGTTGATTGCAGCCAGGGCCATGTTGACCAGGTCTCTTAATGTACACACTCTCTGACCTGGGATTGAAGGGACCTCGATTGAAGGGACCGCGAGGCCAAGTGTTGAGTGAACAGACTGCTCCGTCTCTACTATCTGTAGATGGAGCCACACCTCCACAGAACATGTTGAGTCATCTTTAGAAGATGGCTGTAGGCCTTGTGAAATGACTTTTGTCTTGGATTTGGAATGAGCGCCTCTGGCTTTCAATCCGAGTTTAATCTCTTTGTGAGCTCGATGTTTGAGCAAAAAACAAGTCACTCTGGAGCGAGCAATGGAGGACAATTTGCTGCTTGAAACCATTGTGGTTGGCCAGGAATGCAGGCTGACAAAAGAAGTTGTCTCGGGGGTATGGCATGGCATGGGACAACTTACAGAATTTGTGCCTATTCAGTTAGCTCATAAAACAATAAATATATTTCGAAGAGGCTTGGATATGTGATCAAGCTGGCTTGGGATCAGTTGGATGTGTTGGAGGCTGAGTCTGATAAACTTCATTCCTGCCTTTCACTGGCAGCCAACGTGGCTGGATTTGAAATTTCTATGAACCAACTTCTGCCTAGTAGGTACATCCGACCAGCCCAATTCCTCATCAGGTCTATCAATATAATTATGCATGAATACATAATGGAATGATACTCAACCAGTCATCCTTTTCTCTTGGACTACACTTCCTTGGCAATAGTGATCAGATGGCTTCCCTCGACATCGATGAAGTTTGTGCTTGCTTCCCATCCTTGCAATCAGGGTACATCTAAGCCAATAATGCAGGAGGATCACAGACTACTCAAGGAGTGATCAATAATGTACAGCTGGGAGCTGAGTATTTTGTCAGCACACTGAGTAACAAGCACGTGGATGAGGGCTCTTTCACTGCTGCAGAGTTGTTCAATGCTGCTTCCATCGACGAGGTTGGGTTTGGACCGAGTTCAACAATAATTTTGGAGAACATCGCTAGAGCGCTCGAAACCGATATCAAACCTGGAGATGAATTTATCATTACCTATGAACATGAAGGTTTCTAATATTATCTTCCTATATTCCTTGGTAAAAAACAACTCAATGCTCGCCTTAGCAAACAATGGTCCTTGGAAGCGTCTGGCTGAGCAGCGCAACACCATGGTCAAGTACTGGCAATGCTCCGCTGAGTAGGAAGAGCTTGACAGGATTGGCTGGCGCAGGTGCCACAGGGGCTTCAGTCGAGGCTGTTAGGAATGGATGCACAGTCTTCTTCACGCATTAAAGTCATTGCTGAGGTGCTTTATCTATAATGTATATTTTACAATTGCATCCTGTCGCAGATGGCATCACCCCCCATCTCATGTTCCTCACTGCTCCTCTCCTTGCACCACAACTGAGTACTGAGTACTGAAGGCCGGATGTTGCACCTCCAGCCCTGATGATCCCATCTTTAAGTTGGACTTTGATATTGCAAATGGCAAGCACCCCATCACCAAAACGGCATAGCCCTCGAAGAGCTGGACACGGCGTTCATCGTGTCTGCTGATGTAGTATACACTGGCAGGAAGTACTTGATCGATTACTATGTTACCTTTAGCTGTTCTCAATCAGACCATGGATAGCAAACTGCTATCCCTTCTTTCAAACTCAGCAGTCCGCCAACTGTCCACAAGGTCTGAATGAATGTGAGACCGCATCGAAATACTGCAAGGGAAGGTTGCAGGACACCTGAAGCAATGAAACTGTCAGTAACAAGAAGATAGAATAACATGAAGAAAGTCAAGTACCGAATCACTCCTGGGATAAACTTGGGAGTAAAGTTGATCACTTTTCCCTGGTCATCTTTGGCAGAAGAAATATTCAATGTGGCCAACATAGTCGCAATGGCAGCCCACACAGAGGAATCAGCGTTATACCATCCTGATCAACGTCTATCTGTTGGTGAATCTTTTATAGGGTTAGAATAAGTTAACGAACCTGGACATATACGCCGGCCAAGGCTGAAAATGTATTGTGCGGGTTCATCACTTGTCAACGCGCCATTGCTGTCAATGAACCTCTCTGGTATAAAATTAGATGCGTTGGGGTATCGCTTTTCATCCTGTGTAATACCCCTACAATTAAGTCAGTACCACAAAAGCTGGGAAGAACATATCCGACCATGTGTTGTATGTGATGATTGCACCTAATGCACGATACTATGAATAATCATTGCGTTGAGTCCGGGACAAAAACAGCGGACCTTTCGGAATGAAGTACCCATCATATACATCATCACTCGAGGTAGCATGTGATACGCCTATGAGGTCGCTTTCAGCACAGGCCAGATCATTTGGTGGGGAAGAATACCAAGGGGCACGACAAGCTGCCATCGCCAAGTCTCTCGCACAACTGCATCGATGTAGGGTAGTGATGCTCTGTCTTCGAAGGTTGGCAGCTGTTCTTTTCCAACCACTGAGTCGATTTCTGCTTGTGCGCGTTTCTGAACTTCTGGATATAACACCATGGCCAGGAAAAAAACCATCAAAGTTGCTGCAGTCTGTAATGACGATAAGCAGTGGAGAACATGATAGAGTTGTTTACTCACCATCTCATATGAAGCTGCACAATATTAGTGCATGTCGAGAGCACAGCGTTGCCCGTCAAAAGGCTTGCTTACTTACCTATAATAGCAGTAGTAGCTGCTTTCTTTAAGGCATTCTCAAATACAGGTTTGAGTACCTCCTCTTGCGTTTCCATCCGTTGCAAATTTTCTGCAACCATCGAAGATTGAGCGAGCAACGAACCGTTGGCCTTGCCAAGAGCTGAGTAAATGTCTGAAACCAAGAGAAGAATAAATACCCACCATGTGCTGCTGTACATATCCAAATGGCATGTCGGCCATTTCATTGATCCGCTCCCTCAAACCTCAAGCACTACACTTGATCGAGGACCCCCAGCACCAATCAGGTACCTTTAGTACTACATTTCACAAAAGTGCTGTCATGTTAACGTTATCTCATCCAGGAGAGTTGAGCTCACAAAAGGGGAAGGTTTTAAGCATTAATGCTCTCTCTGGGGTCATCAAGGTCAAGCCTGGAACCAGTGCTTTATCACGGTTTGCACCATAGGATCATCACGAGCACCAATATTGTAGTCGTATACTGTTGACATCACAACAGATAACGAGAATCTGTGAATAGATGGATAATGGTTCAACTCGTGAAAATCATTTGCTGATGTTGCGAAGTGGTCGTGATAATTTTGAGGGTTATCGACTAGGTTGACGATAATCTCACGAGCACGCTTGATCTGCATTGGGCGAAATTTTGCTGCGGACTGGGGACGGAAAGTTTGGTGGAAAAGTCGTCTGCAGAGACGCCATTCATCGCCATAAGCTGTGAATCCAAAGTTAATCGATAAGCCATATCTGCGAGAACCTCAGACTAGTTGAATAAAGGAATACTGAATGAACCCACGGCATGAGTGTTGCTAGATATGGTCGATCGGAGTAAATACGAGAACGCTTGTCCAGTAAGGCTTCTGTGATGTGCTGAGAATTGATCACGACCATTTCCTCGTCTAGACTTCGCACAAAGACCAAGTCCCCTGAGATAATGATTCATACCATGTATGCCCTATGCTATCTGTTCACGTACCATACACAGCACTCCACTTAGTGTAAGTCAGCCAAGGCTCATAAGCGTCGATAGATAAGACGCTCCCCAACAGTGGGAGGGGCACTGGGCCAGGAGGAAGAGGAGCATTATTTTGTCGCTTTTTGATAAACCACTTGAGTGCCTTGACGGTGACACAGGAAAGAGAAATGCCAGTGAGGATAGCAAGGTGGCGATCAACTGCAAGAGCCATGATTCGAGCAGTGGGTTAGTAAACTGTATACGACGACCATCCTTATAACCACGGGGAAGTGGAGTAATCAACGGTGATTATGCAACTCAGTGATGCACCTCCTATCGCTATATATACGTATGGCTTCTTGTTCAAATCACATCAACTTCTGTATGGGCGGCTGTTACAGTAACATGGCACGAGTCCCCCGCCAGCAGAGAGCCCTCTGCCACCCGCACGGCTATAGACGACACCGGAGCCTCACCAGCTCTATAGACGATACCGGAGCCTCACTAGCTCTATGACGACAGACGACGATAGATGACGATAGACGATAAGCGGCAACTGCCGGCTTAGATAAGCGGTCTGGACCGCACGTGACATGACGTGACGACATAGGTCTAGAAGACCTATTAATGTTATCAAGATAGAAGGCAAGCCTCGTGCTGCCTTGAGGATGATAGAAGGCAAGCCTCGCGCTGCCTCATGTACAGATAGAAGGCAAGCCTCGTGCTGCCTCATGGACTGATAGAAGATAGAAGGATACCACGTGGATCCTATCTCTGATGGAAGCGTACCGCATGGACGCTATCTCTGACTCATGTAGATAAGCAGATTAGAACCCAGCTTCGAGCTGAGCTTAGACACGATAGAGTAGCCTTATATAAGGTCGAAGATTAAAGTAGACGTTCCTTACTTTACTCTTACTAGGTTTACCCTTGAACTCCTTGTCCCGCTAAAGCTACCTGCTCGACATCAACTCGTACCTTCAGTGACGCCTCTCACTGTCTGTAAACCGCTATCATCTCGGCGTAACCCCTCGTTAACCACCACGAGCTACGTTCGAGTACGCAACCTTTGCTTGTCTGTAAAGGCCGACGACTCTCAGCACTCGGTACCACTGTCGTGGTTGTCGCTGTTAGATTATCCTAGTCGCACACGACCGTTTGTCATAACAGCGGCGGATGTTCTTGGGAGATCCGATAATTACAGAAGGATATGATCATGGAAGGAGAACACATACATAACATCAAGCAAGCGGCATGCACCGCGGAGCCCATCTTCGTATTCCAGATTTTGCTACATCGTTACGGTATCCGCCCCTCACAAATGATGAATGGTTCATCACCCACGCAGACACCTCCAAGGTTGTATCTCCGCTCTTTATATGTTACATTCTGGAGAGGTGTCGTATTATGCGCTGTCCGCCAGGAAAGTGTATGACACTTTGTATCCGATCGACTCTTGCTCCTTACCAGCCGGGGAGGAGATGATCGGAGAAGGGATTACTGGTGAATCTAGACGCTACAGGCCTATCTTTTGAGATAGCCACAAGAATTGGTCAAAAATGCAGAAGACTCATTTTGTCACAAGCCTGGTGGTATTTAGGGTTCCGCACGGGTAACACCGCGGGTCGGAAACTCAACACCATACCCATACCCGCCAACACCACACCCGCCACGGGTATGGGTACACACCAACCCGTAAACACCGCGGGGGTGCACACCGACCCATAAGCACCGCGGGTACATTAGCAAGAACAGTGTATTAACGACTTGGACAATAAAATAAGTATTGCTATTTTTCCTCGTCATCCTTCTCAGCCTCAACTTTGCTTTGCTTCCGTTTCTGACTCCTTACAGAGGCTAGAAGGTCCTCCATCGCTAGAAGATCACTTCTGCCCCAGGCTCCAAGGCAGAGAAAGGCGCAAATTGTTGATGGTGCAAGTCAGTTGCGAGTAAAGTGAAGGAGCTGCTGAGCCTGTGAGAAGACACGTTCGACCACAGTTGATGTCGCTGAGCAAGCTAATAAGTACTGATTGGTTGAGAGAAGATTCAAGCGTGGCATACCTGGGACAGAGAGATAGTCTAGTGCCATCCAATGTAGTGTCGGATAAGTATGGCAGTTGTCTTGCCACCATGCAAGTGGGTCCTTGGTCTTCACAGTTGGTAATCGAAGGAACTCCTCCAGTTCGCTACTAGTAGTGCGAGACATGGTACCAAGTGAGTAGTCGCCGAAGTCATCATCATTCTGTATAGTTGTCAGTGTCAGTGTATGATTAAATGTTGCATACGGACCGCATCTGCTGCAGTGTCATCGGTAGTCTCAAAATATTTCTCATATTTATCAGTTGATACTCTAATGCGAAAACCAGCATGTCGTACGTGGAGTTCCAACGTGTTACAACATCACGTGGCATGAGCTTTTCCTTCAAGTGTGATGCCCCACATGCCTGTCGCCAGGCCGGGAGCAAGAGAGTTGTCGAGCGAATCACAGCAAAAGACAGACCACGAATCTGCAATATCAAAATTAGCTAGTATTAGATGGGGATCTGATCTGAGACACTGACCTTTGCAATAGTGTCTTTGACAGCGGCAGTGGCATCTAATATCTTCTTGTGATTGGCCTGCGAGAGCATTTCCAACTCATCAATGTTGTCATCAGCATCATCGAGCTCAGATGTGAAGTCAACTTCCTCTACTTCTGAATAATCATCCAGGATAAGCGGCGGCTCATCGTGATTCACCACATTATCATCGGCGTCAGATACTGATGCCTCTGACGATTCGGAGTTGAATGGCTTCAGCAAAGCTTTCGCAGAAAGCTGGAGAGTATGGTTAAAACATCGAACACGGTTGACAGACTCAGATGAGTTGTCGAGGCTTGCGAGCTTTGTTGTTTGAGTATCATTTGCAGTCGCATTGTCAGCATTGACTGCAAGAATCTATGATCGCCAAGTTAGTATGATTCCTACGGTATTTAAGATCAACTTACTCTCTTTGTTAGCCCAAAGTGTTCAAGCATTGCTTGAAAGGCTTTCGCCATTGCAGCACCAGTATGCGACTATAAGATATATCATGTGAAGATTGGCAGAACATTTGATATGGTCTGTGACATACCTCGGCAACTTCAATGATGTCGAGCAGAAATGAAAACATTTTACCCTCATACTCGAGGTGGACTGTCCATGCTACAAAGGCACGATGGTTGGGTGAAGTCCAGGCATCCGTAGCAAAGTGTAAGCATCCAGGGTGATCCTAACCGTTGTGTTAGCCAAGATTCTCATATCAGCAAAAAGCTTACACGGAGAAGCTTGCCGATGCATTCACTACACTTTTCGAACGCTACTTTGATGTTGCGGGACAATACATCAGATGATGGAAGTTCAATGTTCAGACGACCTGCACAAAGAAGCTCGCGGAGTTCACGGTCATTGACTATATTAACCGGGTGATTGCTTTCAGTGATCCATTTCACCAGTCGAGCACTGAAACTGATGTTAACATCAAGAATTTACACAGATAGATCATTTACCGAACTTCCAGGTTTGTGTGTGTCCGATGAGAGTAATGAACGGGCTGTTGGCCTTGGCGTGCAAACGCTGCATAGACGGAGCCACTATTAGTAGTGCTAGCATCCTTACCCTCCATGGCATTGTTGACAGCATCCTCACCATGTTACGGCACATTAATTCTCTTCGCTTCTCCTTTGTTACCGGACAATGGTCTTTGAACACAGCCATTGATGAGCGACCAATTACTTTCCAGACTCTTACTCATATCATCGCCAAGCTGACTTTCCATGCTAGTAACCATCACTATGTTTAGCTGATCATCTCTTATCAAAGCGGGCTGTCCGCACCATGGTTACTATCTCTTATCTCTTATCGTCTACCAAGCGGGCTGTCCACCTTCTATCTTGATACGCACTTACAAGCTCCGCTTGAACTCTCGCTATATAGATACATAGCGTACCACATGTAGTTCTTCACTTTAATCTACTGGGTTCTACCTGGAACTAGTCCGTTAGCAAGGTCCCCAACCTTGCTATCTAAAGAACCATCATTCTAAGGAAGTCGCCAATACTTGCCTTAGCCAGAAAACCTCTGACCTCTCATTCGAGAGAAGAACCACGTCTGTCTCGCCGAATCTCAGTCCACTCGGACTAAGACAGCTCGACATACCCCAGTCATAACACACCAAAGCATCCAATGGCATGGTGCTTCAGATTAGTCGTCGAAGACTTATCCTTTGTATCCTGATAGCGGCGCACACCACCTAAAGCTGTCTTACACTTCCGTGCACCACACGGAAAAAAATGACACAAGCAGCCATTGTGGTATTGGACCGTAACATCAGCTGAAAAGAAGTTATAGATAGGTGACCGCCAAGTCTTCTGGAGAGCCTCTGTATAGTCGTCTAATTAGATATTTACAAAATCAATGGAAAAACACACCGAGATCTGCAGCAGGATCAGGATCAGGATCGGATGTACTTGCCGTTGCATTGTCATTGCCACTGGCCAGTGAATTGGTACATGATCGTGTGAGATCAATGGTGTCTGTGGATTTCGATCGAGACTGGGACGCAAATGACTTCTTGACCTTCTTTAAGGGGTGGGCCAGAGCCTTGGCACCCTTGGTGACAGCCTTTTTAAGTGACTTGGCCTTCTCGGAGATGGACGACGAGATAGACTTAGATGATGAGTGTGACTTGGTAGACGAGGCATCAGATGCTTTCTTTGGGAGCTTCAATGTGAGTTTCATGGAGAGGCGGCGGCTCGTTGGCGAGTGGACTTAGTACTAAACAGTTCTCGAGTTTTTGCCTTGGCTTTATGGTAGTAACTCGAGCTTCTCTGTAGTAAAGTGTCAGCTCGATAAATGGTTTAATAGAATGAATCGCAGGGCGCAAAAGACAGGACAGAAATCAGTATAGCATTTAGTTGTGATCCTCAAGCTCTCAGAGATTCAGGGAAAGGTGGTACGGAGAATCCTAGCACGGTGTTCAAAGGCTGTCAAAGTTCCCAATTTGGTAGGTCATACCCGTCCAAACACCGCCAACCCGCGGTAAAGGGTCGGGGTGTGCTCAAGGGTACGAATATCCTACACCGTACCCGTACCCGCCAAACCCGTTAGCATAGAACCGCGGTGTTACCCGTACCCGTGCGTTTCCCTAGTGGTATTCGGCAGAGATCCTTGAGCATGGTTCGACCTTGTGACGTCACTCTAGGATGTCGATGTT